ACTATGTGGCCTTATAGGTAAGTAACAGAATCACCCTGAGCCTCAGTTGTTTTATCTGTAAGATGGGAATAATAGATTTGTTGTATAGAAAGTGCCTAACATTGTTTGGCATGTGGCAGAACAATGACATTCATTCTCTTACATACCTTTGGTACAATTACCAGCATCAAATGCCTGCTTTCTTCCTGACAGTTTGGGCTGTCTGGTCATTTCATTGGGCCTGCTTTACCTCCTTACCAGCCTCTGTCCTCTTGAGTTTAGCCTGTTGTCTTGCTTCCCATTTCCTGATGGCAGAGCCTATTTGTCCATGTCCTGCTGCAGACAGGGTGTTCATTCATTCAGCAAATGTGTACTGAGTATTCACCAGGTGCTGGGTGGAGAAAGAGGACTTAAAGACTCCCTTGACATCTCGTCTCCCCTAGACTCTCAGGACCATGGCACTTATTTTCTAGTCAATATTCTGGCCTCCAGGATGTCAGGATGATGTCCAGCTTGTCTCCCTCTACTCTTTCCCATCCCCATGGATACAAATAGAGGTGACCTTTTAATCCCCCTCTCAATCAGGTGGAGACGATTGGGGATGCTTACATGGTGGTATCTGGCCTCCCAGGCCGAAATGGTCAACGGCATGCACCAGAAATTGCTCGTATGGCCCTAGCATTACTAGATGCAGTTTCTTCCTTTCGCATCCGCCACCGACCCCATGACCAGCTGAGGCTACGCATAGGGGTCCATACTGGTAAGGCTGAGTCTCACTCCAGCCCTAATCTCCACCTTTCCCAGACTCTCCCAACCTGTTTCTTCTCATAGGGCCAGTCTGTGCTGGGGTTGTTGGCCTGAAGATGCCCCGTTATTGTCTTTTTGGAGACACAGTGAACACTGCTTCTCGAATGGAGTCTAATGGTCAAGGTAAGACACTAGCCCTCAGCCCCACTGTTGGCCTCAATTTATCTTGCCCTTTTCTTCTTTTCATAGTTCCTCCAATCTCTTAATCTGAGAGACCACAGTTCCTTAGTGTTGCATCCTTGGGCATATTTTGGTTCTAATAGATATGCATTGGGAGGTCTGGGAGCTTCCCTGGAATGGTTGGTCGGGCACGGTGCTATACAGTATCACCAATTCTTTGCCTTTTCTTTGATTCCTTTTTCCATCATCCTCCCTATCCCACCCACCCCAGCGCTGAAGATCCATGTCTCCTCTACCACCAAGGATGCCCTAGATGAGCTAGGATGCTTCCAGCTAGAGCTACGGGGGGATGTGGAAATGAAGGTGACGGCAGGCCATGGGGAGGGAGGCATGGGAAAGGGGGGTGAAAGTGATTATGGGAATCATGGGGAAAGAGAGGGAGACAAAGGGACTAACGCTGAAGCATCTGAATCCTGTCCACTCTCCCACTTCCAGGGAAAAGGAAAGATGCGAACATACTGGCTCTTAGGAGAGCAGAAAGGACCTCCTGGACTCCTGTAAACCCCCATTCTTCCCAAGTCAGACAGTCTCCTGCTGCTGGTACCTGGGTGGGCAGTGGCCACCATGTCTGCACACACCAGAAATGGACATTTTCATATGTAATGGAAAACAGCCACAAAAAACCTACCTTATATGGAAGTTGTAGCCCTCTGCAGCTCAGCCCTGTACATATACCTGTCCCTCTCTGGCTTGGTCCCCTTCCTCCCTACTTTCTGTAAATATCTGTATCTAAACCAGAATATTTTGGTCAAATATAAAACAATAATAAAAAAAGTTCTGATGTCATAGTGTGGGATGGGGCAATCCCAAGGAAAGGTTGTGGGGTATGCACGCAGTGACTCACAGAATCACTAAATTAGCAGTCTTGGGATGAGAGAGAACCCTTTATGTAAAGCCTCTTCAAGTACAGTGAGAATTAACTTCCTCCTGACCTCTCTAGTGCAGACAGAAATAGATTCCATATTCCATATCCCACTTCCCTCCTCACCCCTGACAGGAGTCATTCACCCCCTCCACCACCCAGCCTTCCTCTCTGACAGGGAAGGGAAGAGATTTCTCCCAGTTGGTGGGGGTAATTCTCAGGTTCATAGGGCAAAAGTTGCCCCAGAGACAAGGGTACTGGTGTTGAGAAGCTGCAGTTCTTCCGGAAAGGTGTATCCAATGTCCTGATGTTACTGACACCCTGGAGGAGTGCCAGGATGAGGATGGATCTCGCTTTCCCCAAGCCAGAACAAAACAACTCTGCCCTACCTTTCCTGCCCCGCTCTGCCCCCAATACCTAGTCACCCTCACACACCGGTAGCTGTGGTGCCCTCTGTATCCAGAAGGTCTCAGGCTGCTCCTGGCGGTAGTCGTGAGGCTGTGAGGGAGGGTACTGAGTAACTCCTGGCCTTCAGCCCTCTCTCTCAACCTCTGGGTCCGTTACTTGACCACAGCCTGTCAGAGCCCAGCTGTGCAAGTGGCAGGGGGTGGGGAGTGGGTTCTCACCTTTGCTGGGGCAGGAGTCCCTGATTGCACCAGCTCCATACGGTAGTCATGGTGTGTCACAGACTCGACCTCAAAGAGCTTCCTTGTGGGTTCCTGTTCTGCCTGTACCTCTTTACTATGTAGCCCGAGAGGTGTCAAGGCCATTCTCACCCAATTTTTCTCCTCCCCCTCCCTCTTCCCTTTTACCCAATCCCTTACCGGATCTGATGCTGCAGAAGCATCTCCAGCATGGCTTCACGCTTCCCTGTGAGAGGGTGGGGGGTGGGCAGGGTGGGGTCTGGTTAAGAAGGAGGCCCAGAAGAAACTAACTTGAGAAAAGGAAGAAAGACCTTGGGGGTTCTGCCCTTATATCCATTGGACAATCCACAGCCCCACCAGAAATTCCTTCCTCTTTTTCCCTCTGACTATTGGACTCGTTCTGGCCTACACTCTCTCACATTTCACACCTCGAAGTGGCCAATAGACATTTCCTGGTGGCTGGTAGGAGTCTTTCTGGGTGGTGCTGCGGGGCATGGGTGACTTTAGTTGCATAGTCAGCAGTCCCCGGTGTCCGTGTCGGAAGAAAAAACTCTCAGAGCCATCCTGCATGCTTGGGACTTGATCCAGGTGGTTGGTGGCTCTCTGTGGATCCCAAGTTGAATGACTATAATATCCCTTCTGGTACCCACCCTTATGTGAACTACTGCCTCCCCTAAGAAACTGAGGGCAGCCTTCAAGAAAAGGGAGCAGGCCAAAACTTTAATACCTCTTCCTCCCAGTTGTAGAGGAGGCACTGGCCCCGTGGCAATGTTTCATAGTGAATCGTAGGCTTCCCTTTAATGTCTGGGGGTTTCCATAGTCCTCGGGTACCCGGTTCTAAAACTTGCAAAAATTCCCAAGGTGGTTGTTTCTGGGGCTCCCAGGGGCAGTGCTGACTCCCGGAGGTATAGTTAGGGACTCGATCTGCCCCCAGGTTTCTGAACCCTGGAGGAATAGAGGGGCTGAGCTCAGAGTCAGGGCCAGTGCCTGGACCAGGCCCAGAGGCAGGACCAGGATGAGAGCCAGAGCCATGACCAGGACCAGAGCCAGAGACAGGGACAGAGCCACAGCCAGGACCAGAGCCAGAGCCAGAGCCAGGGACAGAGCCATGACCAGGACCAGAGCCAGAGCCAGAGCCATGACCAGCATCTGAGCTGGAGCCAAGAACAGGCCCAGAGCTAGAGCCTGGAACAAGGTCAGAGTTAGAACTATGGTCGGTTGTAGTGCAAGGGTCCTGAGCAATACAGGAAACATAGCCGGGCTCAAAGCCAAGACTCCCATGGGCTATATTGTGGGTAAAGCTGGGTCCCGCACAGGGCTCCCCAAGAAGGCTGGGGTCAGAGGATGGCTCCATGAACTCAGAGCAGGGCGCTGGGGTCTTTGTAGATAATGCAGCTGCTTTGGTGGTGGTGAAGGCTGCGGTAGCTGCAGCAGCTGATGCAGCCGCTGCAGCTGCTGCGGTTGCAGCTGCCAGGGCCGACCTAGGACTGTCATCTGAAGAAGGAAACGGTTCCGAAGTGGGCCCCAGTCCTTCGGAGCTGGGCTGTATGTCTAAAGATCTGAAAGAAAGCAAACACGACAAGGCTGTCAAAAGCGCAGCAGAGGAAGTCCGCTGACCTTGCTCGTCCCCTTCTGCCTGCAGCCAGAGCTGCGGCTCTCACCGCGACCGCGATCCCTCCGTAGACTCGTTGGTCTCCATCTTCAGACTCCAGCTACCGGGTTGCCATAGAGACAGCAAACAACTCCTGGAGCCTGCGCAGAAGTAGAGCTAGGCGGACTTGCAGGTGGGGGTGGAAGCAAGTCCTCTGCGGGGCGGAAGTCTTCAGCCTAGTGCTGTCAGGGAGGACCGCTTTCCAGTCCCGGCGGCAATCCGCCTCAGACTGGGTTTTAGGGTTCCGCTGGCTTAAGACCTCCCCCTCCACGCCCGAACAGAACAGTCTTTGCGGTTTTCTAAGGTGATGCTTTATGGGGATATGTTGTAAACAGGCACAGGCCTGTGGCATTAGGTAACAGCCTACTTGGTGTTTGCAGAGACGCAACAGTAGCTTTCCTTTAGTTTGCTTAGTTCATTCTCAAAAGTGAGTAGGGTCTTTAACAAATGTTAAGGTTGAAAATAAACTAGCTTGAGCAAAATGGTGAGACATGGAATAGTGAAAAGGCAGCCGCTTTTTGTTTGGGTGATTACTCCTCCTCTAATAAAAGATCCTCATATTGACAGCCCTCCTCCTAAGCCCCCTTAGAACCTGGTTTGACCTATGAAGAAGGGCCAGGATGGGCTTTCAGTTTCTTCTGGCTTTCAGTTTCTTCCTACTCATTTAGGCTCATTCCTACTGTTAACTTTTCTAGAAGCTTGACCTAGGGTGGACCACTTGTCAAGAAGACTTACATATCTGCAGGCAACCTTTAACCACAGGTTGGACCCTCCTCAGTGTCTTTCACTCAGACCAGTCAAGGGGCATCATAGCCCTGAATCAGTTTTCTTTCCCCTTTGTGGTATAAAATTTTATATTAAAGACAAGAGAGCATAATTAAAGGATAACAGTTTTATTAGTATCACAGGGTCAATTTTTCCCTTTCCATCCAAGCATCCAGAGTCTGGTGTCCTTTGGTCAATTGGCAGTTTCAACCTGGAGGCCACTGGAGCTGCCGGCCCCCAAGTACATGAATGTGCAGATGATACACAGATTGTGCACCCAGCTTCCCATCGTTGATCACTGAAATTGAGCTTAGGGTTAGGGAGTCAGGATCATGGCAGAGGTCAAAGAATGAAGATCATATTGAGAAGTAGGAATGAGAATTCATAGGTGAGGGACCAAGGGCCAAAAGTCACTCACCAAGTCGGTATCCATCTCCCAGGCCCTCAGCCTTTGCTATCTTCTTGGCCACAAGGAGTAGGTGTCCTAGAAGCTATAGGGAGAGCAGAGGGACATAGGTTGCTTCATTCATAGGGAGCAAGACCTCTAGCTGGGTCCAGGGCTCTTCCCAGTCAAACCCTGGCCCTGTTCTTCCCACCTGCTGGTCGTCTTCTTCAGCCTGGCTAATCCGAGGAATGGGCTTCTTAGGAATGACCAGGAAGTGCACAGGAGCCTGAGGGGCCACATCACGGAATACAAGACACTGGGGGCAGTGACAGGCCAGAGGCCACATTAGTTCAACAGGGTGGATGGTATCGACAACATTCCTAAGGGGATGGGTCCTAAGAGCACCCCACCTGCTGGTCCTCATAAAGAATGTCAGCTGGGAGGCTCCTGTCCAGGATCCGGGAGAAGATGGTTGGGGCTGCTCCCCCAGGAGTTGCCTGTTGGGCCTTGGCCACTTCATTCCCATCAGTCACACCTGCAGCTCCTCGGACCTGAAGGTAGATCGACCATATTCAAAGGAGGGAGCTGGCAGAACCTGTGATCTGGTAGTTGTTAACTTCGTCCTTCTAAGAACCTATTTGTGGTTCCCACCCAGGAGGAAAATTCCTGAATTTTAGAGCACCAGCAGCAAAGGGTAGGGCCAGATGGTGCTGGACCTGGTTAGATAACAGGCAGTATTATTATCCAGGATTCAGCAGTGCAGTTGATTCCTGCTCACATGTCTATGAAATATAGCACTGTTTAGGGAAAGGATCTAGAATGAGATACTGGGGATTTTGGTCTCAGTTCCTATCTTACCACACCACTGAATTACCTCAGATAAATTCCTTCTCTCAGCTTCTAAAATAAAGGGGTGGTTTCCATAATCTCTTACGATGGCTTGAATCTCTTTCCACTCTCACCTTGTTAGTACATTTCCACTTATTTCCGTTGTTTTCTGATCTTTAAGCCTTGTCGCCTGTTTTATTTAGGTTTTAATGCAATCGCCCTGTTTGACACTAGTTGACCCCTCATCTGGGTGTCACATGTGACTCTGAATTTTAACTCTTGTCCCTTGAATGAGTGGAGGTAAGAGTTCAGCTAAGTGATCTCTGCTTCCCTAGCCCCAGGGGACTGCGGGTAAGGCAGTCCCAGTTTCCAGGGGATTCAGAGAAGGCTGACGTCAGTGCATCACGTTGGGGGAGAATGGGAGGGAATGAATTCTCTGACCTCCCAGCCACTTCTGGCAAGTGCAGAAGAGAAGTTAACACTAGTGCTCATTAGGAGGCCAGAGGCCTGAGGAGGGCAGAGCACTGGCTCCATGAAGAGAAAGCTCATTTCCTGCAGGGGGCACCGGGCCAGCTGGGCTGCAGGCAGTGGAAAGAAGGCGGCAGCCGCTGCAGTGACCCTGTCCCGACCTCGGCGACAGGGCCTGCGCAGGGCGGGGATCATCACTAGTTCGTTCTCTGCAGCCACCAGTTCGACCTCACCGCACAGCCCCGGAGCTTGTGCCTCGGAGGGGCAGAGGCCACAGGCAGGACCTCTGCGCGGCTCTGCGCGCCTTCGGGAGCCCTGGCCCCGGATGGCTTCGGAGCCCGCAGGACCCCCTACTCGCTCCCGCGCCACTTCTCACCTGCCCCCCGCGCGCCCCCGTGGCCGCCACGGCTCTGCGCGCCGCGCGCAACCCGGTGGCCAGCACCACGACTGCCGCCATCTTCCCGGAGCCGCGGGAATCTCTCACCCGGGTCAGCACTCGGCTCCGCGGCCGGCCGGGGGTGGGGAGTCCGGGAGCGGGGAAGCGCGGTAGCGGCGGCCGGGCGAGCCCTGCTACCCCATTGGAGCGCGCCCCTGGGCACGATTCGTCCCATTGGCTCTGCAGCCACTTTGGAGGCGGGCTCTTTTCATCTCATTGGCTGCTTCTACCAACGCGAGGACAATTTTCCATTCCATTGGCTTCGTCTTGTAGTCCGTGTGAACGTTCTTTTCCCATTGGATCCCCTAACTAGTTTCGCTGTGAGCGAAACTTCCGCTCCATTGGAAGGATTAAGGAGCCTGGAGGTGGGATTTTCTCCTAGTTGGATTTGATACACAACCCTGGCTTCTAGGTTGCGGCTCCCGAGTGGGTGGGGCTTTTCGTTCTTGGTTCGTCCTCTTAGGTCTGGTTCCTATTGGTGCGCGGGGAGGAAGGGGGCGTGGCTCCGTCACCTGCTGCAGAAAGGGCTATTTTAGACCCTCTCGCTGCTTTGGCCAGGAGGAGGGCGGGGCTCTGGGGACATCCGGCGCTTATTGGCTCCAAGAACCACCCGGGATGGGGCTAAAGGTGAACGGGGATGAGGTGTGTTTTTTTGTTTTTGCTTATTTGTTTTAACTGGCGGGGCTGATGCGCAGCATTTTCTCCACAAGGGCAGTTTTAGTCCCTTGAGCATTTTGGAGATTTTAATGTACTTATCTAAGGGAAATTCTTCCTTAATTCTATGTTCTTGTTAACGCATTCACTCTATAGGTTAAAAATTCTGTGGTTTTTGCATTTGTTTTTTTTTTTTTTGAGCAGGCGGAGATAGGAGTGTCCTATCTTGCCGCATAACTATTATAATAAGCAAAGGAGTATGTATTCATTGTTCTTTTCTAATCAGAAAAGGTGTGTGATACAGTTAGCTCTCGGTGCCTGGCTTTTTTTTTTTTTTTTTTTTTTTTTTTTTTTTTGAGACGGAGTCTTGCTCTGTCGCCCAGGCTGGAGTGCAGTGACGCGATCTCGGCTCACTGCAAGCTCCGCTTTCCGGGTTCACGCCATTCTCCTGCCTTAGCCTCCCCAGTAGCTGGGACTACTGGAGCCCGCCAACACGCCTGGCTAATTTTTTTGTATTTTTAGTAGAGACGAGGTTTCACCATGTTAGCCAGGATGGTCTCCATCTCCTGACCTCGTGATCCTCCCGCCTCGGCCTCCCAAAGTGCTGGGATTACAGGTGTGAGCCACCGCACCCGGCCGGTGCCTGGCGTTTTCAATGAGTCAGGTTTGCACTGCTGGAATATATATTTTTGACATAAGAAACGTGGGGGTCACAAAATACTAATGTTCTCAGACACTAAGTAAGTTTTAGTATGACATCACATAGAATAAGTTACCACTGTGTTTCTTTGGTTTTTCTTTTTTTCTTTTTTTTTTTTTTTTAACACATGGCCTGATACATATAGGTGCTCAGTAGTTGTTGAATGAATAACATCTGGTGTTTCCTGTCATTTTTTCACAATATGTAATACTATGTATTGCATATGATACTAACCCATGTGTAATCAATTTTTCATATTTGTACAGTCTATGTAAATATAGTTTGTATTAGCTGCTTGTTATTTCCTTCAATGAGTTTATCATAGAGTATTAATAGAGTAATCCTAACTCTATTGTTGACTATTAGTTGAATTAGTTTTAGGTGAATGGTTATCATGGCGCTTTTAACTACTGTCGGCGAACTCTCTTCTAGAGATAGTACAATCTCTTTTGTATAGCTGTATTATTGTTAGAAAGTCCTTTCTCCTCCAAAGGGCAGACATTTGATTCTGTGATTTTCCCCAGGGATCCTAGCAGTCCAGATTACATTCCTTCCTTTGGAGGAACAGATGGCCCCCCTAATTGTGAGGAAATGTAGAATGGCCTCTTTTCTGGGCCCCAGAGGTTGCAGTTCTCTGTGGTGCCTCTGGGACACTGGGAGACCCTAGAATTGTCCTGGAGAAGGGCAAGAGATAAGTGGATCTGGGATCTAGGAAGAGGAAGGAAGCCAGTCTGGAGGATAGGTGGATACAAAGCACTTTGAAATTAGTTATTTCTTTGGTTCTCATAGAAAGCAGGCAACACAGAGGTTATTCCTATTTTACAGGTTCAGAAACTCAGCCTAAAGAGGGACAGTGACTTGCGTGGGGTCACAGAGCCTATTAGTGTTAGAATCTCCTACTCCCATAAGAATCTATGGACTTCCTAGTCACTTCCCACATTCACTGATTTTGATCCCTGGCCCACAGTCTTCTCTACTCCAAGCACTTATCACCTACAGTTGCCCTCGTCTGAAAGATGTTATGCTCTGCAGCCTCTGAACACTGTCTCCTGTACTTCAACCCCTGCCCCTATATCTGCTACTGTACCTCATTAGAGACTTCTCTTCCTTTGACTGCTCCCTTTTTCAATCTGACATTTGCCTCCTGGCATCACTTTCTTTCCCTGTTGGTACCGTATGCTCCCTTCACATCCTCACGCCTTCTTTTGCTTAGTTTTCCTGATCATCCTCCCTGATATCCTCACATCATCAACCCATTAAATATTTGGCTTCTCTGCTCCTCTAACTAGGTTCTCACTTCCAACTGTGCCCAAATCCTAAACTACCCACTGATCAGGTTTTTCTCCAGTTCCCTACATTAGCCTTCCCAAACCTTCCCCTTTCTTCTCTTGTCTCCTACTCCCTACTCTTATCCCTCTCCCCCTGGACCCCCAGCCATTGGCCTTATCTCCTACTTCACAGGGCATATAGAAGCCATCAGAGGGGAACTTCCACAGGTTCTTGTTCCCTGAAACTCTGGGAAGGCTCCATCCTCTTCCTTCCTCTTGGTCATAGGAAGTAGTGTTTCTCCTGTCCAGAGCAAATCCCTTTACCTCTGCTTTGACCTCATCCCTTTCCTCCATCTCTGGGATCTTGTCTCACCAGGCATCTCTTCTCTCTCTTCTGGGTCCTTCAAGGTCCTTTAGTCTACTGGCCTCTTTCCCTTTTCCTGTCTATGAAAGTGCTTCCTTGACTCCACAACTCCCTCTGGATATTGTCTGACTTAAGCTTCTTTAAGAGACTCCTTGAAACTCACTGCTGTTTGACTCCTGCCTCCACTGCACCAGTGTGAAACTGCACTCTCTGAAGCTCCCAGAGATCTTCTAACTGCAAAACCCAATGGATACTTTTCAGTCTTTATCTTATTGGTGCCCCAACTGCATCTAACATCACTTCCCACTCTATCCTTCTTGAAACTTCCTCCCTTTTGGCTTCCTTGAAGCCACTTTCCTTCAAGCAGGCAGCTTAAATGTGGGTGTGATGGAGGCAGATGGCCAGATCCAGGCTTTCTCCTGTGCCTAATAGGTGTCAACTCTAAGTTATTAGGCAGTCTCTCCCTGGGCTGGGATCTACCTGCCCCATATGGAGCCAAGTCAGGTTCCAGTGACTCCTCTTTTATTGCTGATCTGGGCCAGACTCACAAAGGCCTGTGCCAGTTGCTGACAGTGTCTGTCCCTGGAGGAGGGAAGAGCAGAGGTGAAAGGGTCAGGTATGGGGGTCAGAAGGGAGGCCAGGCTGGAGGTTGTGTGAGGCAGGGAGTCCCGGGGAACTAGGGTGGGAGCTGGGAAGGCCAGAGGGCCCCTGTATCGGCAGGGCCTCGAAGTCAGAGTTGCTGAGGATGGCTTCTCGGAGCACAGACATCTCTGCAAAAGGTACATAGTCTGCTCCTGGGGGTGAAAACCAGTGCAGATGTGGGATGCAGGTAGGTGGGGGGTGGGGAGGTGGGCTGAGGGAGCGCGCTAGTCCTGGAGGGGATGGTCGAGGATGGGAGTGCCTTCCTGCCTGGCCTTCTGACTACAGACCCCGGAATGGCCCCCTGTCCCAGGTTTCTGCCTCACCGTGAGGTCTCCCTCCTCGTCGCCGGGTCCTCTGGGTCTCAAAGAAAGTCCCGTGTTCCTCCCAGCGCCGGTCACAGGCCGCACAGAGGAAATTAGACTCAAAACAGCCGCAGCAACAGCCTGGGGCAAAATTGCAACCAAGAAGAGTTTAGGAAATGGTGGTATCCCCAGGAGCTGATCACATTCTCATCTCTTCCTCAGTGACCGCATGCCCAAGGCTCTCATACTCGCTCCCCATCATTATCCCCAGACTGCATCCTATCCCCACCTACCCTGTTCCCAATATGCCTCTTTGCCCTAGAAGTTACCATGATGCCTGCAGGGATGGGGCCCAGTGGCTGCATGTTCTTCGTGGCTGTGTTTGCAGCGACATTGGGCCCTCCAGGCCTTGGGGTCAAAGGTGGCCCGTCTCTTGAGCCAGAACTCACCCACCTCCTCTGGGCGTGACGGGATAAAGCAGAACATGAGGCAGCGGCACTGGCTCACCTTGCAGGGCACGGATATGTCTGTGGGATTGGGGATGGATGGTAGGGTTAGACCAGTATCTGATAGGACCTTGCCTTCTTGTGCCAACCCCATCCTCCATCCCCGCCACCCCCATGCACTCAAACATGCTTTTTTTTTTTTTTTTTGAGACAGAGTTTTGCTCTGTCACCCAGGCTGGAGTGCAGTGGCATGATCTCAGTTCACTGCAACTTCCACCTCCTGGCTTCAAGTGACTCTCCTGCCTCAGCCTCCTGAGTAGCTGTGATTACAGGCACGTGCCACCATGCCCAGCTAATTTTTTGTATTATTATTATTTTTTTTAGTAGAGATGGGGTTTCATCATATTAGCCAGGATGGTCTTGATCTCCTGACCTTGTGATTTGCCTGCTTCCGCCTCCCAAAGTGCTGGGATTACAGGGGTGAGCCACTGCGCCCAGCCACATGCTCTCTCTCATACTTCCCAAGACATGACAGAGTACAGTTATTCCTCCACACTCAAGAGGGGCTGGTCAGTTCTCCCCTACCTGAGATGATCCGGTGCTCTCTCAACAAGTGTCCACAAAAGCATCTGGACTCATCCCCAATCCGGAAACAGTCCCATAGGTAATGGGGGCAGCGCCAGCCAATGTAGAGACCTAGGTATGCAGGATTAATAAGGAAAAGTGAGAAGTAAAAAAATTCTAAGCTCCCCCAAAGTGTTCTTACCTATCCCTTGATGGGGGTGAGGGGGTGGGGGGAACTTACCTCTCCCACCCCCAGGTATCTTTATCTCCACCTGAAAGTCCTCACCTCTACCCCTTAGATTTTCTTTTTCCTTGGGATTTTCTCATTACCCCACAAGTGTCTTCAGTTCTCTTTCTACCCAGGATCCACTCCATCTCTGTCAGCCTGCCAGAGATGACTCAAGAGAGTCTTTGGTTTCTGAGCAGGAAGATTATAGATGAAATTTTGTTTGAGGCTGAACATGAATCTCACTGAGTTCTCTGTGACCACAGGGATTCTCATCTCCTCTCCTGATCCCACTAAAGCCCAACTTTGCTTTGTTTTCTTGAAGTGTCTAAGGTGAGGGAAAGGGAAGATGATTGGCCAAGTGTACAGACAATGGGATTGAACTTTGCTTTGTTTTCTTGAAGTGTCTAAGGTGAGGGAAAGGGAAGATGATTGGCCAGATGTATGGACAATGGGATTGGCTCCTAGGTCCCGAAGAGGAGGAGGAGGTTGGATAGCCCTGGTGCTGGAAGGTAGGTGGAGGGTTTCCTCTCAAGTCTCCAGGTTGGTACCTTAATACCTCCCTCTGTGTTCCTGGTGCTATTGTCCCAGTGCCCTCTATGTACCTAAGAAGGGCTGCCAAAGGTTCTTCAAGGGTCAGGAGAAAGGGGTAGGTAGCAGTCATGAGCGGTGAAGACCAAAAATTATACGTTGTGAGGCTAAGCAAGGAGGCGTGGAAAGGAAAGTGAGGCTAAGAAGTGTCCCTGAGAGTAGGCACCAGTAAGAGGTCACAACCCTTGAGAGCTGGTGTTCAGCAGTGAGGTCTGAATCCCTGACTTCGTGACCAGTCTTGAGGTGAGGGTGGTGCTCCTCACCATTCAGATTTTCTCATTCTCCATGAGAGCTGAGAGTACCCCAACTTCTAGCCAAGAATCCTGTATGAGGCCCCATGGAGTGGACCTCCAGGTGTAGGATTCTTAGTCCCAATTAAAGGCTCAACTGAAATGTCACCTCCACTAAAAAGGTGTCCCTGACTTCCCCTGTCTGTCTGGGCTCCTCCTCTTGCCATCCGTAGCTCCTTGTGCTACTCCCATCGCAGTACAGTGCATTATAATAGACCATTCCCTTCTATTCCTATTAATCCATGAGTTCTCCAAGGGAGCTGTCTTTTCACCCATATCTCTAATCCTAGTACAGGGCCTGGCACAAAATGGTTGCTGAGAGAATGTAGATTGCCTGATTAAACAAATGAGCTCATTCCTTCAAGAGGAAGAGAGAGCCAGTATTCAGGCATAACCCTGAGGCTCCGTAACACGAATAAGAAGAGTGGCATCGTCTGGTCTTTGACTCTGGTCAGGGCCACAATTCACAATTCCGTGCCTCAGATTAAGTTTTCTTGTCTTACCCATAGTCTGTCAGGATCTAAAGCCTGTCTAGATGTGGCTTTTGGCTTTGCTGCTTCTGTCTCGATGCTGATTGCCTGTAGTGCCACTGCCCCCTTACACCAGGGAGGCTTTGTTGAGAGAGCAGGGTATAGGCAGTCACAATGCGGGTGGGCGGGAGCCAGGATTCCACTAGAGGAGTTCTGAATTCTGTCTGGAGTAGCAGGATACATTAAAAAAACAGGAGGTGAGGCCCATAGATCAAGGCCTGCTCGGAGTACCCGGGGAGGGGGAGTCAAGTCCAAGCACTAGTGTAGGAATCAGTGCCCAGCATTCAGATGAAGAAGACTGGAGTTTGAACAGGGAGACTGGTGACTATACTTCAGATTCTGTTACAAGTGTTAGTGCTCTTAAAGTGGGACAATTGGAAGGTGGCTGTGGATTCCAGTGGGACCCTCTACTCTCTGTCTTGATTCCAAACTCCCTTCCTATTGTGGGTGGACAAGGCCTGGCGGAGGAGGAGACATTGTTTGGGATGCCGTTTTGATTCTGTCTAACACAGTCCAGTTCCACAATCACATAATCACATTTGCATGATGACATCTCTTTATGCATAGTATGGCTCCATAAAACACACAGCTGTCTTTACAGGAACAGTGTCTCCAGCCTAGCCCTTTCTCCCGAGCTTCAGACCCGTATGGCCAGCTGTCTACTAGATTCTTGGGCCAGCATGTTTCATAAGCGCTTCAAATGTCTTATGCCCAATTATTCCCTCCAAACCTGGCTTTCATCCTTTGTCCTCTGTTCATCCAACACATGCCTACCAAGCATCTACCCTTTTCCAGGCAGTCAGTTAATGGCACCATCATCCTACCACTTACTTATGCCAAAACTTAGGTGGCATTCCAGGCATTTCCCTCTCTCTTATCCTATACATCCAGTGTTCCAATGGTCAGTTTCACTTTGTTAGCTTTTCTTTTCTTTTCTCTTTTCTTTCTTTTTTGACAGAGTCTTGCTCTGTTGCCCAGGCTGGAGTGCAGTGGTACAACCTCGGCTCACTGCAACCTCCACCTCCCGGGTTCAAGCAATTCTCCTGCCTCAGCCTCCCAAGTAGCTGGCATTACAGGTGCCCACCACCATGCCTGGCTAATTTTTTGTATTTTTAGTAGAGACAGGGTTTCACCATGTTGTCCAGGCTGGTCTCAAACTCCTGGCCTCAGATGATCCACCCACCTTGGCTTCCCAAAGTGCTGGGATTACAGGTACAAGCCACCATGCTCAGCCTGTTAGCATTTCTTGAACCTGTCTACTTCCTAAGCCCATCTACTTCTTACCTGGTTATGACCAGTGCCTCACAATGTATTCACTTGCCTTTCCATACCTCCTCTCTTAGCCTCACAACTCCAGTCTTGTCTTTCTCCGGTCTAGCCTATTGCCAGAGTGATCTTTCAGAAACAGAAATTCGCTCATGTTATTGTCCTACTTAAAACCTTCTAGTGACTCTCAGTTGCCCTCAGGATATAATTCTAGCTTTTAGCTTGGCACAGAAATGCCTACAGAATTCTGCCCTTCTAGAGCAGAGCTGGCTCTTCTCCCCCACCACTCTATGCATCAGGCATAGTGCATTGCTGTAGATTCCTGCTGTGCCTTACCCTATCATGTCTCATCTTACAGCACTCTTTACTTGGCCACCTCTTCTTACTCATCTTACAGATATCAGCTGAGAAGTCATTCCTTCCAAGGCTTATTATTCCTCAAGCACTCCAGATAAGATGCCCCTTTTTTCCTGCTCACGCAGCAGTCTAGGATAACCTTGATTATAGCAATTATTAGAGTGAATTATAATTGTCCTTATACTTATTGGTATCTCTCATTAGAGTGCCAAGTATTTTGGCTTTGAACCCCCACCAGCATTACCACTTCCATAGCTAGCTCAATGCCTGGCACATAGTTGGTGCTCAATAAATGTTTGTTGAATGAATAAAAACAAAGGTTACACTTGATATTTCTGTACACATCACATATACTGTTATGGACTACCCAGGACTCAACATCCCCACTATTAGGAGGGGACCTCAAATATAATTGTTCAGGGTTGAATGACACGAATTTCTTTATAAAACTTCCTGTTTAACAGGAAGATGAAGAAGTTCAATTTGAAGAAGAAAAAGAAATACAGTGGCCTTGAGGAGTGGGGAGTAGACAGGAGGTTCTAAGAAGGGGAATGAGAGAACTGAACACATCCTGCATTTTTTTTTTTTTTGAGACATTCTGTCACCCAGGCTGGAATATACTGGCACAATCACGGCTCACTGCAGCCTTGACCTCCTGGGCTCAAGTAATCCGCCCACCTCAGCCTACTAAGTAGCTGGGGCTACAGGTGTGCACCATTATGCCTGGATTATTTTATTTTATTTTTGTAGAGATGGGGTCTCACTATCTTATCCTGGCTGGTCTTTAACTCCTGGGCAATTAAGTGAGCCTCCTGGCTCAGCCTCCCAAAGTTTTGGGATTACAGATGTAAGCAACCTTGCCAGCCAGAATTTGCAAGAAAATAAGAGTAACCGAATATGTTAATATAGCAAACAAAGCCATTTCAATGCCTGAATTGAGACTGGGAAACAAATGAGATCACTATGACTTTCTTGGCTCGGTGGCAGGGCGGGGTGGGGGTGGGGGGGCAAGGGCAGGGAGGTGGAGGGTTCCTGCATGGGAAAGGGGAAAGTAAATTTCACGGAGGAGGGATAAGCATTTAGAATTACTTGGTTGTCTTTATATTTTAGGCCTGTCATCAGAGCTCTGTTCCCATCATAAAGGGAAAGGAAGTATGAAGGACCGAAATAAATGTCATAACATCTATTGAATTCAGTCTAGAAAGACCTGAATCCTTATAGCAGGTCAGGGTGGCCCTCTTACTGAAGGTAATCCCTATAGATACGAATTTCCATAACACAGGTAGACATGCTCATGCACAGGATGGCATGTTTTTACAAGTTCATCTGTACGCAGCATGCCACTAACAGGACTTTCAGGAGGACTAATCGTAGGCTGAGGCTTGGAATCAGCAGGGCCAGAGGACACAGCTCTCCCCTTTGGTAACAGAACTCAAAGCTTTTGGGCATCCAGCATGGGCCTGGCATGCAGGGGTGTCAGCCTTTTAATGGAGTTCCACCAAAGGGACTAAGGTCTTTGTCATGTCAGAACAGCAAGTCTCCTGGGGACTGTCCAGGGTCCTGGGCCATCTCTGCTTTAGGGTCTGTAGGCTCTCTAGGCCCTATATCTGGGGTGGGCCCATGACCCTTCTGTTTTTAATAATTTTAGTTCAGCTACCTGTTTCTACCTGGGCTTTATATGAATCTCCCCACTTTTTGTCTGCATCCACCCTTGTATTCCTTGGCCCACTTGCCTGCTTCTTTTCCACACAGGTGGTACTGCCATTTCCAAAAGGGGCAGCTATCTGCTGAATGTTCAGGTTCCCAGATCTTTTGGATTAGAGGATGCCCATGGGCCTGTCACAGGCCTCTGTAAGGCCACATGGGCTCACCTGTCTGGATGGCATTCAGGGCTGCATCCTTCTCCCACTGGAAAAGATTGTTCACCTGAGCACCAAACTCCTCTCTATGCATTGCCTTAGCCACTTCCACCAGCTCTGTCTGCTTAGCAGGGACCACTGGGCGGGCTGTGTAACCTAGGATGGGAGGGGATGAGTAACCAGGGGGAAGTGAGAAGGCCCTAAAACTAAGAGAAGGGGCCGTGTCCAAGAATAACCCAGTCTCCTCCTCCTGGGGCAAGTCAAGAACAGTGAACATTAGTGAGAACAGGACAGGGGAGAGGACAGGTGCAATTACAGCTAACTCCTTTCTTCTTCTTCTTCTTGCCTAGTTGGTGTCCAGGTTGGGCTGTGTGATCAGTGCTGTCACTGGCATCTACTCCCTTTTCAACCTCTCCTGCTTCTTCCTCCTGCTTTTCAGATGCGTCCATTTGGACCTGGGCTGAAGGGCCTGAAGGAGAGTGTTCTGGAAGGCTCTCAGATTCAGAGAAATGGGTAGACCTCCTTGTCCATGGGACCTCATTGGAAGAAAACTCAGAGGAGAGGTCTTCCTTCAAAGTATCAGAGGAAGACAGAGAGACATAGTTTCGTGATTGGGGAGGAAGAGTAAGGTGTTTCTCTGGTACCACTGAGATGGGACTATCCAATGAAGCCTCATAGGTAGGGGTCCCTGAAGGAGTCTTAGAGATGGAAGGCTCCTGATGGATTTCAGGGGAATAGGCCTCTACGGGGATCTGGGAAGGGGATGGCACCAAAGGGGATTCAGAGGTATGGGGCTCTAAGGGGGTCTCAGAGGTGGAAGGCTCCAAGAAGCTTTCAGAGATACGGTTCTCCTGTAAGTCCTCAGCAGAGGGGTCCTTTGAAAGGGGGTGCTCCTCTGCATCCATGGTGGTATGAGGCTCTTCTGTGATCTCATCTGCTTCCATCTAGTGGTAGAACAGGGTACAGGCTTCATTAGTTTGGAAATAGAGGGCCTGTAAGTCAGGGCACAGCCCAGGGTTCGCAGTGCATTATGGAATTTGGATAAGATTCTCAGTGCACCTGAGATATCAGAGGGAAACAACATGAACTCTGGGTCTTAGAGTGTGATGCCAGGAGGTTCACCCATGTGTCCAGACCTCATATGGCATGCTGCTGTGGCTTGTTAGGGAGGTGGAATTTAAAGATTGAAAGACTGAAGTAGTTAGAATCTCATCAGTAGATGGTAGCAGAGAACCATGTCCCAGGAGGGAGTCTGAACACCGCCACTTGGCCAGTCCAAGAGCAGGGTCCTTGGCATTTCGTAAAACCCTGGAGGTCAGACCATGGAGTTTTAGAGACTGGCAATACCAAGCCAAAGTTGGGGTTGGCTCCTGAGAGTGCAGGGGAATGCTATGTCGCATAAGGCAAGACTCTGCATGCAGCCTGGTTTTGTCTAAGCACCACACACATCTTCCTCCCTTAATGATGTCATTCATGTTCAAAGCTTCAACTACTTCCAGTTGTGTACCAATGACTCCTAAATTCAAATTTCTAGCTCAGACCTCTTTCAACCTCTGTACTTCACACTCATATCCACCTGTCTGCTGGCCTTCCCTTCCCTTCCCTTCCCTCCCCTCCCGTCCCCTCCTGTCCCCTCCCCTGCCCTCCCCCTCTCTCTTCCCCCTTCCCTTCCCTTCTCTTTTCTTTTGTGATGGAGTCTCGCTCTGTTGCCCAGACTGGAGAGCAGTGGCGCAATCTCAGTTCACTGCAACCTCCTCCTCCTGGGTTCAAGTGATTCTCCTGCCTCAGCCTCACGAGTAACTGGAATTACAAGCATGTGCCACCATGCCCGGCTAAAGTTTGTATTTTTAGTAGAGACGGGGTTTCACCATGTTGGTCAGGCTGGTCTTGAACTCCTGACCTCAGGTGATCTGCCCTGCTTGGCCTCCCAAAGTGCTGAGATTACAGGAGTGAGCCACCATGCTTGGCCCCTGCTGGGCATTTCTAACTGAGTGTTTCCATAGGCATCAAAACTGAACTTTGGGAATTATCCTAGTCTTCTCCTTTTCCCTTAGACTCCATCTTCAAACAGGCACCAATAACTGTATTTCCTATCTTCTAAATATTCCCCAAATGCATTCTCTCCTCTCCCTTCCAATTTTATTCAAGTTCTCATCATCTTCAGCCTTTGTGTGACAACTTTGCCCCTCTACTTCCATCCACAGCATTTTAATCCATTCACCCATTCTTTCATGGATTTATGTAACTTATACTTTTACAAAGAGCCTAATCTGATGCTTTTACTGAGCCACTGTGCTAAGCTCTAGATTGAGCTGAGTCTGAGAGAAAGACCGAATAACCAACAATGGCAATACAAATAAATTGATGTTGTGCTGGGGTGAGCCTAGGATACTGTGGGGAGGGGGATATACCTAATTTATCCTGTAAGGATGTAGTCCTCCTTCCTGACCCAGTCAGGATCTTTCTAAAGTGCAAACCCAACACTGGCACTTTGTGGCTTAAAAACATTCCATGACTCAGTCTAAAGGATTAAGTCCAAATTTCTTGGCCCTGGCATTCAAGGCCTGTCATCATTTTCAACACAGCCTGAGGATTCCTGCCTTAAATTTCCATGCTCCCTAATTTCCCCCCATGTTCCAGAGAGACTAGATATATCACTCCTTAAACTAATCAGAGCCTTTTTGAAGTGGACGTTTGGGAAGGGAATTAGGGGCAGAGGTAGGATCATGGGGAGGAAGATGACCAGAGTCAGCTAGAGAGTAAAGGGGCCTAAGGGTGGAGAACCAGAGGATGGAAGGTGAGGAAGGGGAAAGAGAAGGGGAGGAGGAAATTGGGTGGAGGAGGAGAGTAAGGATGAAAAGTACAGAATGTGGGCCAGGCATGGTGGCTCATGCCAGTAATCCCAGAACTTTGGGAGGCCAAGGCGGGTGGATCACTTGAGGTCAGGAGTTCGAGACCAGCCTGGCCAACATGGTGAAACCCCGTCTCTACGAAAAATACAAAAATTAGCCGGGCATGGTGGCCCGTGCCTGTAGTCCCAGCTACTGGGGAGGCTGAAGCAAGCAAATCACTTGAACCTGGGAGGTGGAGGTTGCAGTGAGCCCAGATCACACCACTGCATTCCAGCCTGGGGGACAGAGCGAGACTTTGTCTCAAACAACAACAACAACAACAACAACAACAAACGACAACAAGAAGTACAGAATGTGAAGGGACTGAGGGGTGGGAGAGAGACAGAGGTCTTAGGGGGAGGAGGGGGAGGGCTGTTGGAGAAATTACCTACCTCTGGGTTTTGGCTTGGTTGTTACAAGTCCTTAGGTCAAGACCTTGCCTTAGGATGACAGGGGGAGGTGTTGATCCTCAGGGAGGGAAAGCTCTTGGTTGTGGACGTGCCCCAGCTGCAGGCCCTGCGTGTTGAAATGCCTTGCCTGAAAGTCTGCTATCTGGGGAGGGGACTTGGCTATCTGCAGAACTTCGCAAAGGAGCTCTGGCATGACCTGGGGAAGTGGGTAGGGACAAGGGGTCCAGGGCCAATGAGGGAGGGGCTTGACTGAAGCCTCCGGAACCCGGGCCAGGAGAGTAGGCACAGGTCACCAGGGCAACTGGAACGCCTAGTAGTCTCCGTGGCAACGGCGGTCTAGTCACTTCCCCGGTGGGTGCGGTCTCCTGAGGAGCTTGCATTGGGCCTCGAGGGGGCGAGCCCAGGGGGTTTACTTCTGAAAAGTGGGGTGTGTGTTGCGGGATCTCTGTGAGCGAGTGTCTGGGTAGGATCTGCGGAGATCTGTGCGTATATCCGGGGGAGTCTGGGATTGTGAGGATAGGTTTCCTTTGAGACATCTGTGGGCCGGTCGTTGGGGGCTGTGAGGATCTGAGGGGACCTCGGGCTCTGTGCTTGGGTGAGAAAGGCAGGGTCTTGGGTAGCGGGGCGGGGGCGGAGTCTGTGTGTCCTCGAAGCCCGGCAGGACTAAGTTGGAGACCAATAGAGTAGGGCGGGGGCGGGCTTTACTGACAGGGACCAATTGAGCCGGCCGGGGGGGCGGGGCGTCATGCTGACGTCAAGCCGAGGCCGCCGCCGCGGGGCCTGGTTATCGCCGGTTCAGCGCAGCCCGGAGTCGCCCAGGCCTGAACTCCCACCCAGATCCCCGGCCCCCACTCCGGGCCCGTGAGGACACCGGAGGTCACCCCCCGGGGGTGGGGAGCGGAGCCGCGGGTCAGCTCTGCGAGCGCCCCGCGCTGGCCTGTCCGGCCCCGCCCCCGCCCCGGGCCATGGCCCAGCCCTTGTCCCGGCCCCTCGTCCTATCCCGATCCCCGCCTTGGCCCCCAGTCCCGCCCTCGCCCCGCTTCCCAAATCGGCCCCAACCCCTGCCTGGGTCTCCATCCAGGACCCCCTTCCAGTCCCTGCCCCTGGCCTGGCCCCCATCCCGGCCTCGGCCCTCGTTCCACCCCCTGTCACAAATCTCAGCCCAGGGCCTGTCCCAACCCCATTCCCAGTGTTTGCTTAAGGCCCTGGCTCAACCCCGTCCCTTGCTGCAGTCCCCATCACAGCCCCTCCTTCCATCCCACTCCCTGCCCTTGTTCAAGCCCCAGTGTCCAGCCCAGCCCAACCCATTATCTCAGCTTTTGCCCTCATCTCTGTGTTTACCCAAGTCTCTCCCGCTAGTCCCCCCCATCTCTTATACTCTGCCCCTCTCCCAGCCTAGACTCAAGTCTGGGTTTCAGCTGCCGCCAGCCCTATTGCTGCTGTTGCTGTTCTCTGTCCTTGGCCCGGGGGCTGGTGAGTGCAGAAGCAGGGAAGATTGAGGCAGGAATGGGGTTCCGGCAGGGAGGGGTGGGCTGGAGAGATTCAGGAGTGGTGGGACCTGGGGAACTAGATCACTGGGGAGCAAGTGGGAGAAATAGAGAGGAGAGAAGTCTTACAGAACAGAGGGATTGGCAGGGTCAAAAGAGTGGTAATTAATTGGGTTTGAGGCTCAGCAGGTGGCTTACAGTTTCTAGGACAGAGACTCCAAGATATTTTCTGGTGTCTGTCCTGACCCCACTTTGACTCATGCTTTTCCAGGGAAATCTTGTGGGCTTTGCCCCTGCTCACAAAGTTTGATGGGGGAGAGACAGTCCCACACCAGAAGCCCCTAGTGCAGTCTGGGAATATATAGCCTAAACCTTTGAGATATTGGGAATGCATTCAAACAGCATGAAGAAGAGTTTTAAAGATAATACGTAGCAAACAGATGAATATGGATTAATTGCCATTATAATGAGTTTTCTTCTTGTAATGATTCTTGTTCCAAAGAAGATTGATTTGCCTAGGAATAATTCCTGATACTTTTAGAGCAGGGCTGAAACTCGGAGGCCATTTTACAGATGGGGAAACTGAGGCTCAGGGAGGGAGCAGTTTGTCCAAGTTCAGGTAGCTTGTGATAGGCTGCGTGCTGGGGCTAGAAAAAAGGTTTCCTAATTCCTATCTCATACTAGTGGGTTTTTTTTTTTTTTTTTTCTCTCCACTGCAATGTATACTTAATAGAAAAACAGACCCAAGTGGAGAAAGGCTCAAAGCGTAACCTCCCTTCTCCCCAGTCTGCCCACAAGGGGGCTTTATCCACAAACTGTTCCTTATTTGCTGGGCGTCAGTCAAGGGCCACCCTCCAATGGGGAAGTGACTTGGACAGGAGAGAGGTCCAATATTTTAATGGGTGGAATGTGGGAGGAGGAGGGGGTGTCTTGGTCTAGGGGATGTGCCATGAAGATGGCTACATCATGAAATGACTCTAGTCTTCATGGCCCAAGTCCATAGCCACCTCTGGTGTGTGTCACTCTAGGATGGAGATGTGCCTGATGGAGTCTTAGGAAATAACAGCCAACAGAGCAGCTAGGGGTGGAGAGTGGGTATGAGTGAGCTCTGGGGGCCTGGTTCAGTGTACAAACTTAAGGAGATGAATGCACATGAAAGGTCACAGCCCCTGCAGAGATGTCTGGTCACTTACGTGTCTATGTGTGTAACTGAGGGATTGTGGGAAGGCTGGCAGCGTGTGTACATGCTTGTGTGTTGGTGAGTGTAGACACATGCATGTGTGTGGGGTGCATGTGAGCCAGTGTATCTTCTGAGCGCCTGTGTTACGGTATGAAGGGGAGGGGACATGTTGTGGCCCATGTACATTCCTCTTCAGCTCTGCCTGCTCGTCATATGAGCAGATCACTGAAGTTGTGAATGGGGCTGGAGACCCTTTCTCAACAGTTCCAAGGGTGAGGGCAGTGTTGGGTGCCTCCCGGAACGAATATAAGTTATCCATCCACCCCCAGCCAGTCCCCTTGAAGGAAGGAGCCGTGGAGGCACTCAGTGTTGATTATTGCTGCTGTCAAGTTGGGCATTGGGCAGAGGCAGTAGCCAGTCAGGTTTTCAGTTTTGGTAACGGGGAGTTTATGCTGTTGAGCCAAGTTCCTAGCTTCTATCCCCTGCCATCATGGCTGCTTCATGCGCCATTGAGCAAGCATTGGGCGGGTGAGGAGAGCAGGGTGACTGATGGCCACAGAGCATATACAGCTGAAAGTTGTGGATAAAAATACTGTTGCCCAGAAGCGGGTTCAGGTGCTTTGGGGAGAATTGTAATGAAGTTGGAAAGGAGTACCAGTCCACCCAAAGGGAGGCAGGGCTGCCTTTAGTGCTGTTAATAGTGAATGCCTTGGCAATTTTGGACCTAAGTGCAGGGTGCTCTGTGACCTAATGGTCGCGATGGGTTTTGTCTGAGAAGAGGCTGGCAGGGTCATAGGATCATCATGGCACAGGACTGCATAGTGCTTATTGGTTGCTTCGGTTTCATTTCAGGAATGGAAGTTATCTCTTAGGTCTAGTGGTCCCATTCCTGATCCTTGGATCTTTTCCTTGGGCTTAGTTGAGGACCCACACATGCCTTGCTAGTCAAAAAACAATGGGCTTTTATTCTACCTAGTGCTGTTACTAGCAGGGCTAGCCTCAGCCTATGTGTTGTGTGGGGTGTGCGTGTGTGGTGTGGGTGATGGTCGGAATCACCCTAGCTTCATCATAGAAATATTGGGGAACCCGGAATAAGTTCATCCGAACTCGGTAAGGGCCTTACTCATGCTTCTTCTGGACACAGCTCTGAAAGGCCCTGTTCAAACCACAAACCAAAGTTTGGAGTGAATGGGGCTGTGGACCCTTTTCAAGCATCTGCCCTCAGAACTTCTTCCAAGTTCCTCCTAGCATTCCCAGCTGCTGCTCACTCCTTTATCTCACAGGCCTATTCTGTGACCTCTGTAGCCCCTGGCCACGTGGGGATGGCTTAGCTAGTTCCCCAGTTCTCCAGGCCATACCGTGGTCCTTTGAATTACAAGCATCTTTGTGCTTGTCTGTCCATGTTTCCCAGAGGTCGTTAAACTTTTCACCACTAGCCCTCTGAGGGTCTGCACTGAGAGACTGACCAACATTTCTCCTAACAGTAGCAATGGTTGATCAGATGACCCATCCCTGGTACCAGCTTTGAGGAGGAACAGCCCCTCCCTAACCCCATCAGAAGGCGTGCTAGAGTTCTGATTTCTTCTAACAATAGTATCCAGGCTGTTCACCTCTTAGCCTTCTGCCTCCTACTTAGCACAGCTAGGGTTCCTAGGAAACCTGTCTCCCCCATCAGTGGGTTCCGTAACCTTTATCCCTCTCAGATGCATCTCTGTCACTCTCTGAATGCTGCACTGGTAGCCTCTCTGGGTTCCTGGGCAGTGCTCAGCTTGCAAGGTGGCAGGCTTTCCTTCTTGACAGTTGAAACTGATCATGTGGTCTGAACTGGACAGACTAGTCCTTGAGTGTAACCATGACCTCCAATGGCCCCCACCTATGTAGGGCAGCTCTCTGGGGTGACTCCTGGGGTTGCTCTGGTTCAGCGTTCCTCCTTCAGCAGCCTCCCTTTCCCTTTCTTTTTTATTTCAAAAACACCTCATTTTTGGAGTTAATCTCTCCCATCTCCAGAGAGGGAGATAATTGGACTAGGTTAGCCCTAAGGGTATTTCCTGCTTGGCTGAAAATGCCCCTCCAGAGTAGTCGGTACCCCAGCCCCGGGTGTGTCCTGAAGCTGCTGAGTTCCCCACCTTCTCACCTGTCCTAGAGGTGTCATCTTGGGCTTCTTTTCAGGCTGGTCCGAAGTCTCCAGAGCAGTCAGATTCCCCAAAGGTTTACTCTGAGAGACCTTGCCTGCCATTTGGGACCCTCTTCCCCTGTCTGCTACTGGGTTGCCTCCACTGTGACAGCTCTTCTAGTCCCTTGCCTGGCTAGCTGCTGACACGACTTCTGCTTACCTTGGCTCTGCTCCTGACAATCATGATCAGGTATCTTGGCATTTTAATGAGAGATGACCACTTCCTCCCCACCTGCCAACTCAGCCTGCTCTGAAGATTCCCAAGGGGCTTGAAATCCACTGGGTCACCAACTTACTGCCTCACTGGGCCTCCCTTTGGGAGAACATTCCCCCGGCCCCCACCTACTAGCTGTACATTCTGACCCGGGAGGCCTGATGAGTCTCCTTTCCTGGGGACTCTCATGGTGGCCTGCCAACTCCTGTCCTTCTGCCACCCAAGCAGGCCCCTGGCAGCCGTACCACACTTTCCCCTCCCCTCTCCTGCCCTGAGCCAGTATACAGGCAGCGCTTGTGAGGCTGCTGAGGGTTTTTACTGCTCCTAACCACAGGGGAACAGAGAAGGGAAGAAAATCAACAAGGAAGTTACACAGTTCCATGCTGACTCCCAAGCCCCACAGGTGGAGTTCCAGCCTGCTTAGTGGCTTAAGAGCCCATGCCAAGATACACACACACACACACACACACACACACACACACACACACACACACACACACACCTTCCCCACATCTGTTTTTTTTTAAGTTTGGTAAGTGGAGAAAATGGCTCCTAAGTGAGGGGCAGCTGTGAAATCAAAGAAAGGGTCTTAGTTTTGGATTTAGAGAGAGCTAGATTTGCATCCTCAGTTTGATCTAGGTCTGAGCCTCAGTTTCCTTATCTGTAAAAGGAGGGTTTTTTTTTAAAAATAAGATTAACGTAAGGATTAAACCAGATGATGGCTAGGTTTCAGATCTGCAGCCTGAAACCTAGTTCCTGGTTCAGAGGAGAGCATTTGTGGAGTTGATGCTATCAGTGAGGAGGACTGGCATGCCTGTTGCTTAATGGAAATGCCCTCTGTCCTGCCCTGCTCCTTTCTCTCTCTCCTGCTTCCCAGGAGGCCTTTTCCTGACTGATTACTCCACCTGCTCACCCCGCAAGCTGAGTCCTTTCCGCTCCTTTGCCAGCACCGAGCTCTTCCACTTCCATGTTCCCGAGGACACATTCCTGGCTGTTTGGAACCTCATCATCTTCAAGGAGCAAGGGGGAACCTTTGGGGACCACTGCCCAGACCAAAGTGTGACTGTGTGAGTGTCTGAGTTAATTTCCCAACCCCACTTCCAACCCCTGACCACTTTCCAGACTAAAGTGTGATTTTAACTGACCCTGACCCCAACCCGCGTCCAGATTGAAGTGTGACTGAGTGAGGGCCATGACCTCTGTCACATGACCACTTCCGGACTACTGTATGACTGTGCGAGTGCTTGAGCTGATCTCTCACCCGTGGCCCCTGACCTGGAACCACTTTGTTGAATGTGTCAGTATAGGGAATCTATTTGTTTTACCGGTAATGAGTGACAGTTCTTTCTTTCTTCCATTTCCTGCCTCCCACCCCATTGCCTGCTTTTCTCCTCTCCTAATTCTGGTCCCCCAGGTATTTCCGGTCCGGGGCACCCCCTGTCATCAATCCCCTGCATACACACTTCCCAGGGGACACAGCTGTGCCTGGGGTTTTCTCACTGACCCTCAGCTGGACACTGCCCAACCGCACCTCAGGCATCTTTAACGTCAGCAGCCCCTTACCTGGGGACTGGTTCTTGGCTGCCCACCTTCCCCAGGCCCATGGCCACATCTCTGTCAAGGTGGGTTAATGTTGCCCAGGCTCGGGGGTCTAGAACTGCCCTTCCATCTTTGCTGAACTCCCCCCACAGGCTCCCTGGCATGCCAGCCTTGTGTCAGGGTGGGCAGCAGCACAAGGGTGGCTGGGGTGGGGCATGGCTAAAGGCCAGCAGGTCACCTAGTGGGTCAGAGGCCATGATCTGGAGGAGGCAACTTGGGAGACCCAGGAGGACATGCTGGGTCCAGGTAAGCTGAAGGGAAAGTTGAGAATCTGGAGTCAGAGGCTCTGGCATGGGGGAGTAGTACCGCTTCCTAGTGGAAGGCACAAGTGTTAATCAAGGTGAGCAGAAGCCAACTATGGGCTGGTCCAATCTGCTGCACACACCCAGGACTGGTTTTATTCTACATCTTGATTGACAATAGCCCTGAAGACTCTCTTAGCCCACGGCCCAGCCTTTAATCCATCTGGGAGAATGCATTCATCTTGCATCATAATTTCAGACAGCTTCCTACACCCTTCAGAAGACCACAAGAGGAGCTCTTTCCTGCTAAAAGGAGGCTTTGGGCAGCTGGTGTCCATCCTGGCCTTTGCCTCACTTTTCTCCAAATATCAGCCACCCCAAGCACTTATTTCACAGAGGTTGTTAAAGACTGAAGGGCAGGTTCAAAGGTCAGACGCCTCTCTGGTTTGGAGTGAAAGGAAATGCCACAATGTTTTCCTGCCACTCTCATGGATTAGGCCAGACAGGTCTCCTACTCCTGTTCACTGGAGGAGGAGCAGGGGGTGTACTGAGCTGGCTGTTGTCAGCGTGGGATGACCATGTGCATGGGGCCTGTGGTGAGGGTGAATAAACGAGCAAGAACAGAGCGAGGATTTAAAGAACAGGACTCTAGCACTCAGAAATGTGGTGAATAGTGCCTTTGAATGAGCTGAGACTCACATAAGGACAAGGGTGCTGGAACTGCTATTGTCAGAGATGGGAAGTAGGGCTGAGGTAGTGTCTCTAGGCCTCAGTGACGGCCATTTTTCCTGAGACTGATGTGGATGTGCAAAAGAACTCCCCATCAAGGCCTGCGAGCCTGCTGAAGGACAGCATGTTGGGAGCTAGCTTGGAAGGGGCCCTAGGTTCTAGGTAGGCCTTGACTCTCATCAGAACTGAGGGTTCTTCTGTTAGAAGGAACTTCTTCGTAGGTCTTTGGCAAAATCCCAACAGGGATGTTCCTTATCCTAACTCTGATCCTTGACCCACTTTGTGAGAACTCACAGGGAAAATCCTCCTGAAGCCTGGCTGTAGTTATCCAAAAACCTTTCTAGGTAAGCAGGAACCTAGGGCCTAGGCCTGGGCTGGGATTGTGGGAGCTGAGGCCCAGTTAGAAGTGGTCAGGATTGCTTATGGCTATCAGATTGGGACAGTGGGGAACGGAGATAGTAGTGCAGAGAAAAGCTGATCAGACCCTAAAGGGTGATTCAAGTACCCAGACCAAGGGGGAGCTGGGCAGTGAGAAAAGAACTAGGCCTGACATGTACATTTGCATCTAGACATGGGAAGTGGGGCCTGGGGAACTTGGTACCGAACTGGAATCCTGGTCAGAGCTCCCCCAGGTATGTGGTGAGGCTAGACAGAAGAGGACCATCCCGCTCTGCCCACAAGCAGCAGTGGGTCTGGATGCCATGAGAGATGTAGTGCTTCCGCCAGGCCTGTTTGAGAGGTTGATGGGGCAAGGATCTTATGTCGGTCCTTCTAAGAATTAGATTAACTTCTGTAATCTTATATGGTCCTCTAAGGGTTCTTCAGCTCTCCAGATCCTGGTTAATTTCCAGGATTCCAGCCTGTGGGTTCATTGTCTAGAGCATTCCTCCATCTTCTCAACTTGTTTCCTCCTGCTACTATGGTATGCTTCCTGTGAGGCTTGGCGAACACAGGAATTTATGTGGGTTTAGGGATATCCTTTGGTGGGAACTGAAGAGTCCCAGCGATAAGAAGGCAGTGGTTTCTAGGGCCCTTCTCAGCTTTGGGGATGAACTCAGATCTCCCTTTAGCCTCAGTCCTTTAGTACCTGCTTTGTGCCAGGCCTTGGGTTGTGTGCTGGGGACACAGAAATAAATAAGATGCATGTTAGATACAGGAGATGTTTTAGGAGGATAAAGGGGAGATGGCTAACTTAGCGTGGTGGAGGTGGTATTGGAAACTGTTAAGTGGCGAGGCCTGAGGTTGAGAAGGTAGGGAAGGGCATACCAGGTGGTGGGAGTAGCATGGCCCAAAGTTTAGAAGGAACTGAAGTGGTTCAGTGTGGGCTGGTTTTGGGGTGGTGAGGAAGGTAGAGGGATGAGCAGAGGCCAGATCATGAAGGGCCTTGACATTGGAACTGTATCCTGAGCGTGATAGGGAGCCCTGAAAGGTTGTGAAAAAGAAGTGACTTACCTGATCTGGGCCACCCTCATGAGCTCTAGTCCCACACTTCTGCCAGACCCTGTGTCTGTGTTATTTACTATGTATTCCTAGCCTTCAGTGCAGAGTCTGGCACATGATGCTGTTTCACCTCCTTTCCCTGTCACCTTCTTCCTACCAGCCACTTCTGTCCTGTCCCTGGCCTCCATCTCCTTGCCTTTCCTGTTTTGGATCCTGTGTTCATTCTAAGGTGCCCAGTTGCCAGTCTGCTCTGAGGGGCTGGCCTTTGGGTTGTGGATACCATTTGGCACCCAAATGGCTCATAAGGGGAAAGTACTCCTAAATGTCTTTAGAGCACAGGTTCTCTTCTTATCCTTCCTCTTCCTGTGTCTAAGATTTGAAAAAGTAGGTAAAATAATGAAAGCAACTACAAGGAAAGTGAAGAAGTCAGTTGTACAGGAGAAAGGATTCTGTTGAATCCACCAACTAGGACCACACGTGACTCAATATCTCAGCAGAGGTGGTTAGAATCTGCTAATAGTGTGGCTGCTTTTCCTCTTCCTCCTAAATTATTTTATTTATAGTTTGAATAGGCAATCTGTGCACCTGGTACAACATTCAAAAGGTACAAAAGACATACAGTGGAAAGTAAGTTTTCCTCTTCCCTTCTTTCAGTCTCCAATTCCCCTCCCCAGAGTTAACTAGTAACTAGCTGTTAACTAGTTCCCTATATTACTCTTTCCTTTTTGAAACACCTTCCCTTCTTGGCCTCTGTGACTTTACAGAACTGTCATGGTTTTCCCACTGCCCACTCCTCTGTCTCCTTTCCTGGCCTCTCCTCTGCTTGATCTCCATGTTGTAGTGGCCCAATGCTTGGTCCTGGAACAGCTCCTTTTTTACTTTTCTATTCTCTTGCGTGGTGTTCCAGCACAATAGTTTAAAATACCGTCTGTATGTTAATGCTTCCAAGAGTATTCATCCAGTCCTAATTTCTTTGAATCCCAGACTTTATATCCCACTGCTTACTTGACATCTCCAATTGGATGCCTAAGAAATGTCTCAAAGAGTATTTAATAAAACCAAATCAAAGTGAAGCTAAAACTATAAAACTCCTTAATTTCTATTTCACTGCTCCCAGTCCATGCTGCTGCTTTCTGTAGTTATTGTGATCTTCCTCAGGAAATTGCACTGTCATCCACCCATTGCTCAAGCCCCAAATTAAGTGCCCCAAATCCTTGATTTTTCTTTTCTTCTGATTCCTCACAACCAATCTGTAAAGAAAAAGTCTTGTTGACACTACTTCTGAGGCATGCCCTGAACGCATCTACAGTTCTTCATTTCCACTTCCAGCACAGTTTCTCTGCTTTCTGCAGGGCTACCACAGTAGCCTCATAAATGGTCTTCCTGCTTTCACCCTTGCCCCCTGAAGTCTGTTGAACACTCGTTTGCTTCTACACTGATTGGGTGCTTTCTGACTGTGGGCATGGGCTCAGCTGTGCACTCGCTATTCCCGCAGAGAACGCTAAGTGTCTTTGGGCATCTTCAGTCTGCAAGCCCCACCCAGAGTCTGGCACTGGCCACCCCGCTCAGGTCTTTCTGAAGAAACTCAGCCCATACGTATGAGGACATTCTAGGAATCTACCTACCATGCCTTCCACTCCAGCATCTTTCAGCCTATAGCCCATCCATGTCTCACTTTTGCCTCTCCTAATTTCTCGAGCTTCCTTGCCTGGGCCCTGGGCCTCCCCGACTGCTGATGTTCTTCTGGCCTCTTGGCTCAGTTGGGACACTCTCACTTGGCATCTGCCCTGGCAGCTCTTGAGGACCTGACTTCTGGTGCTCTTTCTCTGGCCCCATCACTGGGTGACGGTTCCCTGCATCTCCCCTGGTCTCCACTGACTAAACACTCCCTCCGCATGAAGAGGGGGGACTGGCACGTTACACAGTTGAAGGAAGGAGCACATCTTAACCAAACAGGTCATGTCCACTGATCTTTCATTGAATCAAACACAAGCAAAACTCCAAAACGTGGAGCAAAGCGTTCCTGGACTGTCTAGCAAGGAAATGGGCCACCACTGGAGCATGAGCCCCCACCCTTGGGACTCATTCACTACAAGATTATTATGGTGGTAATTCTTGCCTTAGGAGGTGGGGTCAATGCAGTGACTTGTGAGAGTCTTTTGGTTCTTAGGGTTTGACACCAAACCTGAACATCTAGGTTGGTTCAGGAGCTCTCTGAAGGGACCCCCTTTTTGACACCCATTCTTTAACAGCTATTTTAGCACCTAGTATGTGCCAGATGGTGTACTAGACACTGGGGATGCAAAAGGCACAGACCTTCTAGCCTTGTCGAGTTTTGCTGGAAGTCAGTGCCTTGACTGGCTTGTTCTGAGCCATGGAACTCAGTGGGATGTCAGGGCCTGGAACTTTTGTCACAGAACAGAGTTTGAAGGTATGACCTAATTAGGAGCCCCCACTTCCCCTTAACTGTGAGGTCTGTAGGGCTCATATAGCTGCATGTGCTGCAGAAGAGGAACTGCGACAAACGGGACTGTGCTCACTGGAGAGTGATGAGGCTGTGCGGGCCAGGGGGTGTCAACAGAGAAGGAGCTGGGGATTTTCTCCAGAAGCGAAGCTGGGGGAGACATGGTTGATATCCTTTAGCAGCAGAAGAAACACAGTCTGAGGCTGAGGGACCAGACTAGTGGGTCTCCTGAAGGCAGAGTTGGGGCAGGGGCATCAAAAATGACAGGATTTGGCTTTAGCAAGGTCAGCACTTCCCCCAGATGTTGTGATCCATTTACTGATTCGTTAATTCAGCAAACATTTATCTGTGAGGTATGCACTCTATGTGAGGCCCTGTGTCTAGAGGAACAAAAATCAAATAGGACAGAGTTCCTGTTCTCAAGCTGCTTATAGTCTGAGGTTGCCTGGAAGGTAATGAGTGGCCCAGCACTCATTACCTATGCAGGGCTGCTCATTACCTGGGTGTAATGAGTGTGAAAGCAGAGGCTGGACAAGCATGTGGGAGTGGGGCAGGGTGGGGACTAGAGGAAATTAAAGGTTGAGATTGGTGGCGGGGAGAGTGAGGGGGTTGGATTGGAGGCCTTGAAGGAGCTTTCCACCCCACCCCACTTTGCCTAAAAGAGCCAGTGTTCTAAGTTCCTGAGCCTGGTCGGGAATGGGCTGGTTGGAGATCACAGTGCTGCTGGGCTGGCCCAGAATGCTCAGGGGGAGAGGTTAGCTTGGGAGAAGGGGCAAGCCAGGCCTGATTGTCAGGAGGGCCTGGGTTTGAATCCCAAAACCTTAGCCAGTGCTGAGGATCCCAGCAGACCTTGCAGACTGAGGTGGGACAGAGATGACCAGAAATGACTGCTCAGGCAAGAAGGACCTAGAGTTTAGAGAGACCTGGGTTAGAGTCCTGGGAGTGGTGGCCAGGGTGGGGGTTTCTCCCTGGCCCACCCAGCAGGTTCTGTTTGCCTTGGTTTAGTCACGCCCCTGCTGTCTCTCCCTCTCCTGCTACCCCTGCTTTTGTCCCAGGGTCTCCAGGATGAGTGTCAGTACCTCCTTCAGCCCCAGCTGATTGTCCGGCGTTTGCTGGACGTTGCTGTACTGGTTCCTGGCCGGCCCTCAGAGCAAACCCTCTCCCCACACAATCGCTCAGCACTCTACAAGTAAGTCAAAGACTCCCCACACCTGGTCCTTTCCCACTTCTCTGGCCTCAAATAGGCTGCAGGGTTCTCACTTCTCCGCCTACCTGCCTGGTCCCTGGGTGGGATCCCTGCCTCCCTCCCTCCCAGAACAGAGCGGGAGACCTGAACAGGCCTCCTTCCCACCCCACGCCCCCTCCTTCCTAGTGCTTCCCTTGCCCTGTGTTCCTCTCGTCTCTGTTTTTGCCTTCTTACCCCCAACCTCTCCTCTGCCCAGGGTCTTTGTGCCCAGCTTCACTTACAGGGTTTCAGCACAGCTGGCGTGTGTGGGGGGCCGCGGGGTATCTGCCTGCCCCCTGTCACTGCGTCTGCGTCCCAAAGCCCCACCCCTGCACAACTCAAGCTCTGTGTCCTGTGGAGGTGCCTCGGGATGCCAGCTGGAGCTGGCACTGCCTCCCTGGGGGCACTGGGTCTACGTGCGTGTGGAAACATCATCCCGGGGCCCTGGTAGGACCATCCGCTTCCAGCTGTGTGTGCGGTTGCAAGGTCAGAACCCCTGCATTTGCCCTAGTCTGTGCAGATATCCGTGGCTGGGAAGTGACTTGGGGTGGCTCTGTTCAGTGGCCCTCTGCCACATCCCTGCAACTTCCCCTTCCCCACCCAGGCTCCTTCACACTCCCTGAAGCCATCCCGCTTGGAGCTCCAAGTTATTGGAAGGCTTTTAGATAACTTTTTTTTTTTGCATCTGACTTGAGACAACTAAAGGACCTCATTACTTTCTTTGATTTAATCTCTCAGTTTCCTGGGGTAGGCAGAGACATCCAAGACCTCTGGGACACTGTCCTTGCCGAAGCCCTTGCAAGTCAGTGAGACAGGCTGTCATACTTAATATCTGTTTCAATAGCATCTTCACTGCCTTTAGGGAGGGATAGATGACCTCGGTTCCCTCCAGTGTGGTATTGTGTTAGCTGTCACCATTAGGAAACCCCTATGACCCTGGATGCCCCACACTCCCAAGGGACATTGCATTCTAGTTCTCATCCTTCCCCACTCTTTGCGAAATCCTGTCTAGCTCAGATCTGTTTATGAGTAAGTTCAGGACTGTAAAGGCTGCAGGCCCAAGCTCTGGTTTCCTCTGCCCCACAGAGTGCCCACAGCCCGGCCTGCTTCGAGCCCTGGTCCCTGGAGCTGCCATGAACATGCCCCAGTCACTGGGCAACCAGCCACTGCCCCCAGAGCCACCATCCCTTGGAACCCCTGCGGAGGGGCCTGGGACCACATCCCCACCCGAGCACTGCTGGCCAGTGCGCCCGACTCTGCGCAACGAGCTGGACACCTTCTCTGTCCACTTCTACATCTTCTTTGGCCCCAGTGTGGCCCTTCCCCCTGAGCGCCCAGCCGTGTTCGCCATGAGGCTGTTGCCAGTGCTGGACAGTGGAGGCGTCCTCAGCCTGGAGCTCCAGCTCAACGCGGTACTCTTTATGGAGAGTGGGGAGGTTGCTCTCCCGGGGAGCTTGCAGGGAAAGGTGCCAGGGGTGTTGGGGTCTTTACCTCCTCCAGGAGGTAAAAGCCTATCCAGGTTGCTCCCTCCCATCCTGACAATTAGAGACCATGACTTAGCCCAATTCTGGTCAACAAACATGTTCGGAGTATTGACTCTGCTACAGATGGGCAGGTCAACCAGGTCGACTCAGTGTCTGGGGTTTCCCAGTTTTGTAGGCTCACCTCCTGCTCATTACTGGCCTTTCACTATGGCAGTTGTTAACCTTTTCTTGCAAATCTCCTTTGATGGGGAGTTTACCACCTCTTGAGGCCACGCAGTTCATGTTTGGATAGTGCTGATTGCCAGAGGCATTCCTGACATCCCATCAAAATCTGTCTCCATGAATTTTTTACCCACTCATCTTTGATTCAGTGGGTAAAAGCCATATCCAGAAGCCATTTCCAGTAAATCTATCTCTGTCTTGTTCTTTTTTAAAGCAATAGACTTAATTTTTTTTAGAGCAGTTTTAGGTTGAACAGAAAGCACAAAGTTCTCATCTACCCACTCTCTCACGTTTTCCCTATTATTAATATCTTACATTAGTATGATACATTTATTGCGTCCCAGTCCTATTTTTACAGCCCTTCAGATGTTACCTCCAACCTCCCAAAAGCTGAAGAACCTCAGTGTCTTTGGGGTCTTGGTATTTGGATCTCTCCCCTTCCTTCACTGTTTCACCTGGTCATACTTCTAGCAGTCACTGTGTCTCTGAAATAAGTGATCTGAGGTGGTCTGATCGAGGTGGCAGGTAACAAGACTTGCATTTGTGCTGCCTGAGATTGAGTTACTTTTTTCAGCAGGTGCATTACACTGTGGGATCACCTAGGGCTTGTGGTGAATTGAGATCCCTGGGTCTTTTTCCTTCCTTTGTATTTTCTTCAAACCAGTTGTACACATTTTTTTTTTTTTAATTATAAGAGTAATAGGATCACATACAAACTTTGGAAAATAGGGGAAAATAGCTCCCTAATGCAACTGTTTAACTTTTTTTTTGAGACAGAGTCTCACTCTGTTGCCCAGGTTGGAGTGTAGGGGTGTGATCTTGGCTCACTGCAACCTCCGCTTCCCGGGTTCAAGCGATTCTTGTGCCTCAGCCTCCAGAGTAGCTGGGATTACAGGAGTGCACCACCACACCCAGCTAATGTTTTGTATTTTTAGTAGAGACTGGGTTTCACCATGTTGCCCAGGCTGGTCTCAAACTCCTGGACTCAGCTGATCTGCCTGCCTTGGCCTCCCAACATGTTGGGATTACAAGTGTGAGCCACTGTGCCTGGCCCACTGCTGTTTTTGGTTTATGTCCTCCCATTTCTTTTCCCCATTAATTGCTTTGTTTCTCTAGTTGTAATCAAGGGGCATACACATTTTGGTGCCAATTCGCATATTGTATTTTTGCAGTGAATTTTTGAACCTGAATGGAAGAATTTATGTCCCTCCTTGAGGCATTGCCTAATACTGGTTTGGGACTCGGGCCTTCTCCACTTTGTGTAATTCACACACTTGCAAAGCCAACTTTTTGTACTTCTTAGTCATTACTGTCAGCATTAAGACTGAGATGAGGGCGGAGCCCTATGCTGGCCCATTAGAGAATATCTTCAGCTTAGCTTTGATCCAATAACTTACATACTGTTCCCCCAGCCAGGGATCCTTTTAACTCTACTATCCTCCAGCTCTGAGGGCAGGGACCACTTTCCCATCAGCCAACCTGAGGCCTGGTCTGTGGCTTCATGTGGCCTTTTATGGGACATGGCTTAGAACTTTCTAGTGGTCCTGTTAGAGTCATTTATTCACCCTGAATATATTTCTCATTTACATAATCAAATTCTCTCTTTGTTCTCGCTAAGACTGTATGTATTTTGTGTTTGCTTATTGCCATGCCTCTGGGCAATGACAGTGAGATCTTGATTCGACCTTGAAACTGTAGACCCTGAATTAGAGGACAGCCTTGCCCATACTTGTTGTTTCTTCCTCAGTACCCTGAGAATAGAAGCCTAGCCCTTTCCCTCTCTTCATTCCCATCCATTCACTTTAATGAGCATCTGTTTACATTCCATCATCTGCATTCTATGACACGTGCTACCCACCTCAGCCTGTTCTGTTTATTCTGAAAGGTATTTCCTTCAAATATTTTGATTTTTTTTCTCCCCTTGGATCAAGAACTGGACATTTGGATCAGAGAACTGCATATACTTTTTTCTTTGGCTCCCTCCTAGAAAGACTTTCACTGAGTAATACTTTGGCATATTGCCCCGGGCTTACATTGAAGGAAGTTATATAAGCAAGTTGTATGAAACTCACTCTTGTGGCTGAGGACAGGATGCATGACAACACACAGTGCTGCTTTGATGAGAATTTATCTCAGAACTTCCCCTTTGGATGCTGTGATTCTCCAGAGACTCTGATTAGCTTTTATATTATGTAGTTGCAAATCTGGTAACTCATTATACTTCCTTTGCTTTGGTTGCTTGGAAGTCAGTATCAAATATATGGCCTACATTAGGGACAGACTTTATTTTCCTATCCTGATTTTTAAGTTTCCCTCAGGCATTTATTGTATTCTATTTTATGTAAGCTGCCTCAAATCCTTCTTGAATGAGGTGAGCTTATGGCATCCTGTTACCTTTATTCTTGTAGATAACCCCTTACATTTACTCTTGCAGATTATCTGGTTTCTTTTAATCCCAGCCATGTTGCTACATTTAATCTCTTGGGCATTCTGTTACCACCGTTCAGTACCTAGGATCATTTCACCTGAATTGGAGTGAGTGTCTTCATGCTCTGCCTGTCTTGGGGTCCAGGTGAAGATGATGGAAAACCTTACAATTGCCTTTGTCCACAATTAGTTTCTATAACTGGCAACAGCCCTCCTTCCCCTCAATGAGCTAGATAGGACTGAAAAAGAGGGTGTTCTCTCTTGCTCGGACAGAATTGAAACACTTCTGCCCAAAGAACAGATTCAGAATTGGGCCTTGCCGTCTCATCAGTCCTTGAAAGATTTCTGCTGTGGAGGATCTGTTGTTTTTCAGTTTTTCTGTTCTGAGAATGGAGGTGAGAGGGCAGCTTTGGCGTGCAGAGCGCCGGCAGGAATGGGCTGTCCTTGGAAGGTGTGGGTTAACAGGGGTGGGAGTCCGAGGGTGGCTGTGGGTGGAGCTGGAGGATGTGGCGGCCTCACCTCCATACCTACCCTCCCCAGAGCTCCGTGCGCCAGGAAAACGTGACGGTGTTTGGATGCTTGACCCACGAGGTGCCCTTGAGCCTGGGGGATGCAGCAGTGACCTGTTCCAAAGGTGGGGTGAGGAATGGGGGAGGAGAGGAAGCTGCAGTGTGGTAGGGGTGGTGGTGGTGGTGGCGGGCAGAGGTGAAGGCGGCGAGGGATGGAATGGAGGAATGGTAGGCCAGGGTTCCGGGAAGTGGGGGCAGGTGGGTGAGGGTTCTTGGGTCCTCACCCCTCCTTCCTCTCACTGACCCCTTCCTTCTCCCTTCAGAGTCCCTGGCCGGCTTCCTCCTCTCCGTCAGTGCCACTACCAGGGTTGCCAGGCTGCGAATCCCATTCCCGCAGACGGGGACCTGGTTCCTGGCCCTTCGCTCCCTGTGCGGGGTGGGGCCTCGGTGAGCGGGGAGGGGCAGGGCCAGGGCTGGGACCGGGACTCGGCGGGGGTGGCCCGGGGCCCCAGGTGACTGCGAGTGTGTGCGCAGGTTCGTGCGGTGCCGCAACGCGACGGCCGAGGTGCGGATGCGCACCTTCCTGTCCCCATGCGTGGACGACTGCGGGCCCTATGGCCAGTGCAAGCTGCTGCGCACACACAACTATCTGTATGCAGCCTGCGAGTGCAAGGCCGGTGAGCGGGCTGCGGTGGACTGGAGGTGGACCTGTGGGCCTGTGGGCAGGCGGCGGGAGTAGGGGAGTGCACAGCCTGAATTGGGGACGGCTTTGGCAGAGCCAGGGTGAGACCACCCTCCACGGGCAGTGGCATAGGCCCATGGCTGCCGTCTGTCCTCTTCCATCCTGTTCCCTCCCCAACCGCAGGGTGGAGAGGCTGGGGCTGCACCGACAGTGCAGATGCGCTCACCTATGGATTCCAGCTGCTGTCCACACTCCTGCTCTGCCTGAGCAACCTCATGTTTCTGCCACCTGTGGTCCTGGCCATTCGGAGTCGATATGTGCTGGAAGCTGCTGTCTACACCTTCACCATGTTCTTCTCCACGGTATGCGGCTGTGTCTGCATCTTATCACTGGGTGCTTGTGAGTGGTGGTGGGTCACAGTCTGTATTTCCACCACGTTCTCCAAAGGTTTGGGAATGTACGTGCCTTCACTGTGTCTTCTACAGACAGAGACAGCAGTGCTTCCCAACCTATCATGCATAGAAAAGGGTCGTTTTTGTAAGGCACATTGGAGGAAATGAACAAAACTGTTCGCAACTTAATAAAGTAAGTTTGGGCCTCCAGCTGTTCCACACTCTGTCCACCCTGAAGGCTGAGGGGACCTTTACTCAACACATGGGCCAAGAAACTGGCCTACAGTATGGATTTGTGTCTACACAGTCACCGTGTTCTGTGTATGGGGGCAGGAAATCTGTGCTTTCCCCCACACCTCTGCATGGAGTGTCTTCATCTTCACCACATTCTTCCATGATGTGAGAGCTAGCTACTCTGAGCTCCCCTTCTCCATCACACTGGGGACTTCTACACTGTTAGCATGTTCTTTCCTGTGGTCTGAAATGGTGTCCCCATTCAGTCGCCGTGCCACCTTGATTTCTCATGGGAACTTTGGAAAGATAGAGGGGATCTCTGTATTGGGGGATTATAGGACAGTCTGACTTTCAGAGTCCTGAGAAGTTTTACAGACTCAACTATGTCCTGAGGCATTGTCAGATGTGGCAGTATCATATCACATCCCAGCTCAAAGGAGTGCATTTTGATGAAAATTAATATAGTTTAAAACCCCTCCATTCCCATTGCAGAATCGCCACAATCTCTTTCCTGTGTTTTCCCCACTCCTCCATAATCAGAAAAGTTCATTATAAGCAAGTGTCCAGAAACTATAAGGAAAGGTAGAGAAATGAGCCTGCTGATATGACTTAACCCCCAAGTAGACTTTTTAACCCCTGAAGTGTCACATCTGGGAATCTTTTCAACTCATCTCTAGGCTCTTGACACCATGTGACATGCATGTGAGCACTGCAAAAACTCTTAGATGGTTTCAGACTCTCAGGCCTTGGCAGCAAGGATATCACAGAAACCAAAACGGGCCTTCCTGGCGTCCAGCATTACTAGGTCAGACATATGTCTAAATTAGAAAAATCATACCTCTCATCTGGGAGAAAGCAGGGGCAAATGTGCTGAAACTGAGGGGCCTGGGTCCTGCTGGAGATTCATCCAGAGATGAGGAAGAAGAGGCTGCAGCCATGCTGCAGAGAGAGATCTTGGCTCTTTAAGCTGGGTGAGAAGCACATACCCCAGTTTTGCTTGATTGGCCCCTTTTTAGGCCTGCTCCCACAGTGCCTCATTCTATTTTTATATTAGACACTGTTTCTCTTTCGTATTGCCAGATGCCCTTTCTACTGTGGCTCACCAAATCCTCCAGCAACAGCTGTTCCACCAGCCCACTCTCGGCTACATGCAGATCGAATGTGATTCATAATTAGTAAGCCTACCTAAGTGTGTCAGGAGCCTGCAGCATGTAGGGAGAGCATATTCACTCTCTGGACTTGACACAAGCATCCTGATTGGCTCCAGAGTGTTCAGTGCTAGATGATTCTTCCTTATCTGGATACAGTGTCTGTCAACCTGAAAAGACCTTCCTTGTAGCAGGGAGAGCCTCAAGTCACATAAAAAGCTCCCACTTTCTTTCCTTCTTTCTTTCTTTCCTTTTTTTTTTTTTTTTTTTTTTTGAGACAGAGTCTCACTGTCGCCCAGGCTGGAGTGCAGTGGCGCGATCTTAGCTCACTGCAACCTCTGCCTCCCAGGTTCAAGTGATTCTCCTGACTCAGCCTCCTGAGTAGCTGGGACTACAGGTGCACACCACCACACCTAGCTAATTTTTGTATTTTTGGTAGAGACAGGATTTCACCATGTTGGCCAAGTTGGTCTCAATCTCCTGACCTCATGAACCACCTGTCTTGGCCTCCCAAAGTGCTGGGATTACAGGCGTGAGCCACTGCACTGGGCCAAAAGCTCCCATTGTCTTAAGTAAGGCAATAAGGAAAAGCTGCTGGCTTTGAGGTGTTGCCTAAAGCCCTGCTCTAACTCCTGTTCTTTTCCACATGGCCCAGAACATAAAGCTGTGTTTTCTCTTTTCCCTGTAGGTTCTCTGTGGTCCCTCCTTGCCATTCTTAGACTTATTTCATTCTGCAGCAGTGTCCATTTAAGGGCCCATTGGTCAAATTGCAGTTGTCAGTACTAGGACAGGAGATGACAGTTATCTTCCTTGTCTTCAAATAATCCAGGACAGTCTACACTTGGGAGTAGTAATTCATTCTTATCTGGGACATAGGAGCAGACAGTAGGGATTCAGGAGTTTACAGATGTAAAATATGTTTTGAAAAAAAAAACAGGCCACAAACTTAGCATTTGATTTTTGTATATAGGCACACAATTCAGGTAATGTTTACAACAAAATGACATATACTGAATATGTGCTGTGTTTCAGACACTGCTAATTTAATCCTCACAATAGTACTGTAATAGTTGATACATGCTTTTATTCTTGTCATCGTTTTTTTTGTAGATAAGGGAAAGTTAAATATTTTGCCTGAGGTAGAAGGTGAGTATCTACCTTAGAATCTGGGTGAGCCTGACTCCAGATCCCTAGCAAGTAACAGATGAGCTATGTTGCTCCCTTTGCACTAGGGCAGTGAGCATGCATTGAAATGCTTTTAACCTGACTTCAGTTTCTCCTAAGGCCTGGAGTATGTAGAAAAAGGCATGGCCGCAGTTTAGTAGTTCTCACCAAATTCTTTGTTTTGTTTTGTTTTTTTGAGACGGAGTCTTGCTCTGTCGCCCAGGCTGGAGTGCAGTGGCCGGATCTCAGCTCACTGCAAGCTCCGCCTCTGGGGTTTACGCCATTCTCCTGCCTCAGCTTCCCAAGTAGCTGGGACTACAGGCGCCCGCCACCTCGCCCGGCTAGTTTTTTGTATTTTTTAGTAGAGACGGGGTTTCACCGTGTTAGCCAGGATGGTCTCGATCTCCTGACCTCATGATCTGCCCGTCTCGGCCTCCCAAAGTGCTGGGATTACAGGCTTGAGCCACCGCGCCTGGCTGTTCTCACCAAATTCTTAAAAGATAGGAGCCAGTCAAGAGATCTGAAAATATAACTAAGCCAAATATAAGAAACCATCAGGGCAAAGATATCAAAAATTTTAGCTGTGCAATTTGAACCCATACTGTTCAAACTGTGTATCCGTCACAGTGTTCCTTGAATCCTTATAATTAGATCTCAGAAGACCCAGACAGAGCTGGCATTCTGGGGCTGTGCAGGTGTCCTTGCTGATTGCCGACATCCTGGCTACAAGGCCACCTTCTCATTACCCCTTACATCCCTCAGACCATCCCAGGTCATTCTCAGTATCCCTTGGCAAAATCCCGTAACTCTTTCCAAGAGAAAATGAAAGCAGAAAACAGGAAATAAGGGAGTAATAGCGAGTTCCGTTATATCCCAGTATTGGTATGGATTAACTACGTTTGCATTTATAGTCCACATTCTGCAGTACCTGGATAGCCCATTTTGGAGCATTAGATGTACTGTTATAAAAATGTAAAATTCCACAGAAAAAAATGTGAGGATAATTTCCCTACATTGCTTCATAAATAATGTCCAAAGCTGAGAAAGTTATCAACTTAGATTAGTTTGTAGTCTAATTTTTTTTCTTAAATTCCCTGATTTTTCTGTGTCACTTCTACTTTTTTATTGCTGTTGACAAAACAAATGCCAATCTAAAAATTAGTCCACAATTTTTAGTGGACTAATTCCCTCATGCTACAATTTTAATTTAACTCTATCCCTGTGGATTTTTCACAACCTAAAACAATCTCTTTGACCTTTTAGTATACTTGGAAGATAATCAGTCGTAAAATATTCGTGAGATGATTTCTTCAAATCCTCTCCACTCTGGAGATAATATCTCCATTTTTCTTTATTCTTTTAGTGCAAACTCCTAGGAGAAAGTCAGCCCTTAATTATTCCCCTAGATGTGTCTTCAGTGTTTAGTGATTCAGCTTTGCCTTTTTTCTGCTGATATATATCTTCCTTTATCTGAAATATAGTACAAATCCCTCTTCCAGAAACTTCTGGGCATTTCTTTCTATATACTTGAAAGTGAAGCATATGGAGCCAGTGTTTGGTTAAGCCTGGATGTAAAATTAGTGCTTTAAAATAAAATCCAAGTCATAAAACAGTATTGGGGTAATTTAGTGGCCTATAGTACTTATGTCTGGTCTTGGGGGCAGAGAATAATCAATGTCCTATAACTAAAATAGAAAAAGACCAAAATATTGATTTGTTTAGGAACTAAATTAACTTCCAATGAATCAGCACATATAAATAGTTGAAAAATAAGCCAGTCTCTTAGACATATTCAAACATTAATTACTTAACCATTTTTATTTATTTATTTATTTTTGAGACAGGGTCTCATTCTGTCACCCAGGGTGAAGTGCAGTGGCATGATCATAGCTCAGTGCAGTCTTGACCTTCTAGGCTCAAGCAATCCTCCCACCTCAGCCCCTTCTGCCCCCACCCCCAATTCCCTGTTCCCCACCAAGTAGCTGGGACTATAGGCACACGCCACCATGCCCAGCTAATTTTTGTATGTTTTGTAGAGATGGGGGTTTCACCATGTTGCCCAGGCTGGTTTGAGCTCCTGGGCTCAAGTGATCCACCCACTTCATCCTCCCAAAATGCTGAGATTAATAGGCGTGAGCCACTGCATCCAATCTAAAAAAAATAATTCTAATGTTGATATGGACCTACATGAAAAGTCTCTGAAAATTTCCCAGTAAGAACTCACTTTTTCAATTTAACAGTATATTAAAAGGGAACCATGTCCCCAAAATAACAAGCCCTTTTGAAAGCCTGGAACACTCACTTAAAACATGTTCATCCTAAGGCAGTCTCTTCTTGCAGGAACAAAATTATTTACCTCCAAAGTGAAGGAAAAGAAAGAAGATAGATAGACAAGCTTGAGTCTTGCAGCTTAAAATTTAAAGGAATCAAACCCAAAGTTTCCCGATGCCAATTCATATCCCAGGTTTTCTTCTTCATTTTGTTTTCTTTTTCTTAGATCCTAGCTTCTTCCTTTCCATATTTGTCTGTTGGAGTTGTAATTTTTGCAATTTGAATGACTGGATGACATCTTCAGTAGGGTCAAAGGAAACAGCGATTTCTTTTTCATCTTTTGTCTCTAGAGACTGACTTTGAGTATGTTTTCCAGTTCTTTTGGTGGCATCTCTGCCACTAAAGAGTTATCCCTAGAAAACTTTTTTCACAAATAAGGAAACACAGAATGCTGGAAGCCATGGCATTGTCCAGAGAGACAATCTGGACGTGGGTCAGGACTACAGACAAGGGAGCTAGTGGCAGACTTTGCTTGGTTCCTTAATTAGGATGTCCAGTCGAGTTTGATCCAATTCCACTTCTGTTCCCTGCATCCCCTTTGAACCTCCTCAGTAGTCTACTCTTCACTATGTTCTCCAGAATGTAGGATGGGTGGACACTGTCCCCTCTCCATGTTCTTCCCCATGGTGTGAAGTGCCATGCCTCTCTCCATGGCCTTAGGGACTGCCTTTTTTCTTACCTGCCACACACTCCCCACATTTGCTGGGAGGGGATGAAGAGGGTCAGTTGGTGGAAGGCCTGAGAGTGAAGCCCAGTTCAGAGTCTGAGCTATCAGGGGAAACTGGGACATAGCGGGGAGATTTGGATTCTGGGTAGCCCAGAGCTTGGGCCAGGGATGGGGATTATAGGTGGGATCCATGGTGAGCATGAGGAGATGGGGACAGGACTGGCTTCAATTTGAGGATATCAGAACCCCCTGGCAGGGCACTCTCCACAACACCTTCCAGAAGCAGGAAGATTAGGAAGGTCAGGACCAGGGTCAGGGCTGCCAGATACATACTAGCTATGCAGCAGACTGGACCTCCTTACCACATTCTTCTCAGGATTTGGGGAGTCAGGCATTTCCCAGATCTTCTCATCTGTGACCTTTCACCTCTGCTGCTCTGACAGCAGCACACCACCCCTGGGCCCACCCCCTCCAGTTTTGTAGACCTGGACCTCTGCCTCACGTTCTCTCAATGCCTGTCATTTCTTCCTTCAGTTCTATCATGCCTGTGACCAGCCAGGCATCGTGGTTTTCTGCATCATGGACTACGATGTGCTGCAGTTCTGTGATTTCCTGGGCTCCTTAATGTCCGTGTGGGTCACTGTCATTGCCATGGCTCGTTTACAGCCCGTGGTCAAGCAGGTCAGTCCAGAGTGGGCCCTGGGGAACAGCCATGGCCAAGTCTTCTTGAAATCCACTCCTGATCTCTCCCTGGGAGCATTTCCAAGTGCCTCTCATGATTCTGACCCAGCCCCTGGAGTGCTGTCTGTCACCTGGCCCTAGCCCAGCCCTGGAGTCTCTTTCTCTAGGTGCTGTATTTGCTGGGAGCTATGCTGCTGTCCATGGCTCTGCAGCTTGACCGACATGGACTCTGGAACCTGCTTGGACCCAGTCTCTTCGCCCTGGGGATCTTGGCCACAGCCTGGGTAAGGGTGGGGAGGGACGTTGGGGGAGGGTCCTAGCAGGACTTGGGTGTGGGGCCCCAGGTATCTGGTCCCCAGTTTAAGGTGGGCTTAGCTCTGTCATCATCACCTGCTGCTGGCAGTGTCCGCTCCAGTCTTAGAAGATGTCTTTAGGTCACAACTTAAAGAGGAAACCTGAGAGTGACCAACTGTGGCTTGGGTCCCAGGGCTTGGAATTCCTGAGCCCCACTTCTCTGTCTCCCCCAGACAGTACGCAGCGTCCGCCGCCGGCACTGCTACCCACCCACGTGGCGCCGCTGGCTTTTCTACTTGTGCCCGGGCAGCCTTATTGCAGGCAGCGCCGTCCTGCTTTATGCTTTTGTGGAGACCCGGGACAACTACTTCTACATTCACAGCATTTGGCATATGCTCATTGCGGGCAGTGTGGGCTTCCTGCTGCCCCCTCGTGCCAAGACTGACCACCGGGTCCCCTCTGGAGCCCGGGCCCGGGGCTGTGGTTACCAGCTATGCATCAACGAGCAGGAGGAGCTGGGCCTCGTGGGCCCAGGAGGGGCCACTGTCAGCAGCATCTGTGCCAGCTGAGAGGGGCTTTGGGCCTGGCCCTGGGGGGATATGGACGCTTCCTAGAGTTCTTTCTGGGGGCGTGGAGCCCTCTTAGAAGGAGACAGGCTGTATTTCTTGAGGACATGGAGTCTTTCTCAAGGACACAGAACTCTTCCAGGGACCTGGAGCCCTTCCCAGGACATGGAGAACTTCCTGAGGGCCTGGAGTCCCCCTGCATCATGGAGTCCTTCTTAAGGACTGGAGCCTATGCAGGCACAGAGCCCCTCAGGACCAAGGAGTCCCTCCTGCAGGTGTGCAGCCTTTCCTGGGATACGGAGCCTTCCCAAGACATGGATTCCTTCCCAGGGAGACAAACCCCTGTCAGGAACACGGATCATTCCAGAGGAGGTGGAGTCTATCTTGGGGAAACCAAATTTCCAGATTTTCCCAGAGGCTCAGCAACTCTGGCCTCAGGCTCCCTTTCCAGAGGCAGCGTCTGGGCTGTGCTGTGCTGCGGAGGAGGGATTGCAGGATGGATGAAGCTGGGACTGGGGCTGTCTGGGTGGCTGGTATCCTCGTTTGATACAGGTGGAGTCTGTGTGTCTCCAATGAATGATTGGTTCAGAATGGTTCTGTGCTGCCTTTTTTACCCCTGGGGTCAGGGGTGTGGGGAATGGGGGAAAGAGGGCCCCTCAGGGAATCAGCAGGGCTGATGGGAGCTACTGCTGGAGGCTTTTGTCATGCCATGTACACAGTCTGATCACGCTCATCTGGGCCTTGCATTCATTTCTAAACACCTTCTAATGTCCATTCCCCAATTCATATTGAGCCCAGTTTGCAATAGCTGAGAGGGGTGTGTGTGTGTGTGTGTGTGTGTGTGTGTGTGTGTGTATGCATACGCTGAGATGGTTTAAATCAGCGAGACAGACTTTCCTCATGACGCCCACACCCAACACAGAAGGAAGCCGAGATCCCAGGAAATTGGAATAGCAGGTACACATCTCAGGTGTGCAAGAAATATCACAAGAATGTAACTTCTGTTTTGAGCCCCCATTTTTCCTGAGTGCCAGAAAAGATCTTTTGTCTATTCGGGATTCCTTCTCTTCCCATGAGGGTCATAGCTGAGTTCTGAGGGTCTTACATAATGCCAAGAAGTTGGGAGAGCATTCTTACTGATCACCAGTGTCCATACTTCATCCATCCCTGAGATTTCCATCATTCCATCTGGTCCCCAGTCAGAGGTCCAGACAGTTCATCTGGGATGCAGAGAGATTTCTTGTTCCCATTTGCATAACCCTCTCAGTCCTAAGGTTCTCTCTGCCACTTCTGGGCCATATGTGGAGAACTGTGAAGTTGTCTGAGGCCTTGGCTATGCAGACACGCCTTGAAGCCATTTCTGTTCTGGGTTTTCACAAGGCATGAGTTGCTGCATCTTTTAAAACCTGCAAATCTATCTTAGCCTGGGATGTGGGGCTCAGGGACCCTCCCTTTTGGTACCCTCTGTGTCAGTATTCTCACTACATTCTCTCCCCTTCTCTCTTCTTTCTCCCTTTTGTTAATATTGGAGGTGAGGAAGCCTTACTTAATGTTTTCTCCTGAATCTTTTTTTTTTTTTTTGAGACAGAGGTTTTGCTCTTATTGCCCAGGCTGGAGTGCAATGGCCCGATCTCAGCTCACTGCAACCTCTGCCTCCCGGGTTCAAGCGATTCTCCTGCCTCAGCCTCCCGAGTAGCTGGGATTAGAGGTATGCGCCACCATGCTCAGCTAATTTTTGTATTTTTAGTAGAGATGGGGTTTCTCCATGTTGGTCAGGCTGCTCTCGAACTCCTGACCTCAGGTGATCCTCCTGCCTCAGCCTCCCAAAGTGCCGGGATTACAGTCGTGAGCCATTGCGCCCGGCCTAGCCCGAATATTTTATTTATGCCTTAAGCCTTTTCTGTTCCCTTCAGGACCTAGGCTTTTGAACCCCAAAAGCCAGGCAAACATGCCTTTGTTATCTGCTTTCTGCAATCACATCTCTTCCATGGGGCACTGAGCAGAGAATGGTGTGGCCAAGTAAGTAGTGAGAAGCAGTAAGGGGATATGAGCTACGTGTCTGTTCCTATTTTAGAAAATACTGTTCCTACATCAGAAATACCACATTAAGATGTATAGAGCCACGTCACTGGGATGCTTGAACCCATATAGCTGGGATTCTGGACGGAGTCGGGAGAGTACAGAAAGCTCTGAAGTGGGAGATGGAGCTGGGGTGCATCCCACCCAGTGAGGGGGGGTCATAAGGGGCATCCTGGAAGAGGGACATTTGAACTAGGATTAACTGAGTTGCCATGATGCCAAGATAATGGGAGAGTGTTCTTTGTGGTCACCAGTGTCCATATGGCATCCCTCCCCTGAGATTTTCATCATTCCATGTGGTCTTCAGTCAGTAAAGCTCTTAGAACACTTGTATAGTGCCTAGTCTGGTATGTGATGTGGTCCAACATATGTTAGCTTAAGGTCACCAAGTGTTTGGACATGGAGAGGGAACAGCAAGAGGGCATGCGGAGGCAGGAAAGACTGATATTTACTCTGGGCACTGAATAGTTCAGTGTGCCTGGGCCGGTGCACGTGCGCATGCTTTTGTGTGTGGAGTGGGATAGTGGAGGTAAGCAGCCAATGGTGTGGTTGGATAGGTAAGTGGAGGTTGAGTCTTTAGTCTATGGGAAATGAGGAGCCACTGGAGAGATTTAAGCAGGAGAGTAACATGATCAGATTGGAGTTTTGATGGCTGGGGCAGAGGATGGACTTTGGGAGACCTTGGAGGACAAAGTACAGTGACACAGCTATTGGAACATTTGAGAGAGAAATGGTGAAGCCTTCTTAACGCAATGTCAGTGGAAAGGAAGGGACTCTTTAGGACTTGGTGACTGGATGTGTGGGGCGGTGAGGTATGAGAGAGCCTAGGATGATGGTAATATTCTGATTGGGGGTGGTGGTGCCATTCCCTGAGATGGTGACACCACTTTGGGTCGGGGGACGATGAGCTCCACTTTGGACAGTTTGAGGTGCATGTGGGATTCCCGGAGGGAAAGGGGCCAGCAATATGACAGTGCTGGACGTAGCTGCTGAACCAGGCCTGTCTCCAGGCTTCCAAAATGGGGATCCTTGGTTGTCTCCTGACCTGTCTCAGTGGGAGAGATCCCAAGATTCAAACAGCCCTTCCTTGCCTTGAATACAGGGCTGTGGCTGACAGATATTGCTGCACCCTTGCACGTATCTGTACATACGACTGGACTGAGACTTCTGAGCACCTGCAGCTGCCTGGGGCATGTTCAGCAGCACAGGGCTCAATCCCCACAGGGTGATGTTCTGAAGGCTTCTGAGTGATGATTCAGTCCCGCAACCCTTCCACAGGGAACGTGCTGTGGGAGCTACAGAGATGAGCCAGACCCGACTGAATCCTGCCCTGAAGGAGCTCACACGGTGGTGAAGTGTCATGAATGCGAGTTGGATGGGACAAGTGTGAAGTGGAAGATCTGACAAAGTGCTGTAGGATGTAAAGAGAACGATCTTAAAGTGCAATGGGAAAGGATGCATGAAAGAGATGATGTCTAACCTGGCTTTGAAAACTAGTCCCAGGTATCATCAGAGAACAGCACAATACGTGCAAGGGTACAAAGACATGGGGGTGCGGCAGTACAGATAGTGTAGCGAGCGGACAGCCATGTGAAGGGTGTAGTGGAAAATCAGGCTGAAGAAGCAGGTGGGGGCAGATTCTGGAGGGCCTTGAGGACTCAACTGAAGAATTTGGACTTAATGGTAATGGGAGCTGTCAAAAGTCCTTGATCAGAAAAGTGATGAATCAATCCGGGTTTGACCAAAGTAACAGAACCACTATGAGTGATAAAAACACGAGAACTTTACAGTCATGGGAGCAGTTGGAGAAATCTGTGCAAAACTGTTAACCTCTGCATTTGGTGTTGGGCCTGAAGCTGTTACTGCTCAGCTGGGCCAGCAGTTAGGAAAGAAGGCTGAGTGTGAAGTGAGGGGCAGTAAGGGCACACTAGAATCCAGGAGGACAAACTGGAACCTGTGCCTGGCCCTTGTGCCTTCAATCTCAGTGACTGGTGACCTGCAGGAGAAGCTGGCACCTTTGCCATGGAGCTTGCACTTGGTCCAGCACTCAGCACAGTGGAAGGAAGTGTCCTGGTGGGGACTGGACAGGCTGTGCTAACGGGGAGCCAGCAGATTAGCGACATGTGAGTGCCCTCACTGTGTCTGGTGCTGTTCCATTTTTTCTTTCTTTCTTTTTTTTTTTTTTTTTTGAGACGGAGTCTTGCTCTGTCACCCAGGCTGGTGTGCAGTGGCGGCATCTCAGCTCACTGCAGCCGGCACCTCCCAAGTTCAGGCAATCCTGCGTAGTAGCTGGGACTACAGGTGCACCACCACACCCGGCTAATTTTTTGTATTTTTAGTAGAGG